AGATTGACATTTTGCGCGTGCGCGGCCAGTTCATAGTCACCGGTAAGAACGACCATCAAAAGTAGTGCGATTGTTGCATGCTGAATCAGCTCGGGAACTCATTTTTCTACGTACACCATCCACGAACTTAGACTTAATCTAATTACTTGGTACATCATAGTATTGGGACTGGTGAATAGTATAAAGTACATAAACCCTGAATACGATCGGGAACCTCATAAGTTTGAAACTTAAGCATGTGATTCATTGATTTGCAATTGTTGTCTTTCAATCTTTTTTGTAAAACATCCCTCGCTTGATCCTTTCTGACCAATATGTCTCTATACGACTCATCAATCTTTAGCGAGATAGTAATGGATTTTATATTAAATATCAATTCAGTAAACTTTTCTTTTGTTATTTTGTCATAGACTATGCATAAACTGACCTTTTTAGTGGCACCATCTTGTTAATATAAAGTAATATAGAGGTCTCATTGTTACCGTAATTGATTATACCATCACATGCACAACAGCATGTCAGTGAAACAATGTTTATACAGCAATATGATCCGGGCTGGTCGTATTCAGCTATAAGGTCGAAGTCCTACGTACATGTAGACATATGTGACACGCCGAGAGCTTCATGCGTGTACTCTTTAAACTTAAATACCCCACGATAACGCGGTAATTTAGGCCCCTGAAATCCATCGTTTCTGGTTGTACAATGTAGATTTTCACGTCCAATAAATGTGTTGAGAATGCATTTTTTTTATAAAACTGTTTTACTTTCCAATATAGCTGTATATTTTATATATTGTGTCGCATAGATGATCACCAAACCTTGTTTGTACCAGGTATAATAAATCGGTTTTTAATGCATATACTTTCTGTTGATATGTATATTAAATGTTCATGTTAGGGGAATTAAAGGTGAAACCTGCACTTGGCGGGGTGGAGACTGATGTGAGACTAGTTATGAGAGGGAAAGCCACTCCTGAAAGTTTTCTAGAAAGTGGTGATAAAGGCCAGGGACCTTCTCTGCCTACACTACACTAGATGTAATTAAGCTCATATTGGTGATCTATGCAAACAATGGAATGATGACATACTGTGTTTAAAATCTACTTTTTAGACTAATAGTGCATTTCAGTGACTATTCAGTCCATTTGTACTGGCCTAAAGACGGTCTTTCTGTGGATGTCAAAGTGTTTACTGGAGGTAGAAGGTGAGGCCAAAATGTGCAGTGATGTGATATGAGTATTGAGATTTTCCTTGGCTAATAAAATGATGGGAAATGAACCGTTATTTATTATCTACAAAAAAAACAGTATTGAAAATAGGAATAACATATTCTGTGCCTTAACTAAAATGCCTGTTTTGTTTTCTGAAAATGATGTTTAACAAATATTTGAGAAAAACAATCACTAAATTAAAACAGTAAGATTTTGAAGTTTTTCATTCAAATGAAAAATGGTGCTGTTGGAACAAGTGACCTCATCAACCTCACATATTTACATTGGGAAAGTCTGAGGCTAAGCATACCACCATTTCCAACTAAAATAGAATAGTCAAATACTTATTACACAGGATAGTACTGTACTGAGTGGTTGGGTGGTGGAGTGGATAGCGCACTTGCCTTTCACCAAGGCGGCCGGGGTCAATTCCCCAACCAGACGTGAACTGATATGGGGTCACCTGCCCGATCACGAGTTTTGACCAAAGTGTCGCAAGAATGTATGTAAACGCTAAAGAGAAATAAATATTGTAATTAATCCGTAACACAGAAAGACACGATTTTCTTCGTTGTATTTTTAGATATAATCTCTTCAATACATTAAAAACTCGTTGAGCTGGGCATGTCTGACATTCAAAGTTGCAACGTAAAAGACAGTGACCACTCTTGCAACGTCAAATCTTGCACCACTTTATTTCATGTATGTCATGGTCATTACAAGTGGTATAGATTTGTAAATACTGATTCAAGTTTTTGTTGTAAACATATTTTTGTCACAGCTATAACCGGAAGAAAACTGTAGAGATGTTAGTCTTCAAAGTTCAAAAGTACAGAAGTATAAATTTGTCTGGGGTGGATGTTGCGGTATCTGTGCTGTAGCATTCAAGCGAGGTGGCTCTATAAATGATACCATTTGAAGCAAGGTCCCGCTACAAAAAGACAACATTACGTATACATTTCCAGCACACACGCAGCCATACACATATGGGGAGATATTAGCCAGGTGGCATATGGCTAGTAGTTAGCGCCTGATAAGTCAGCTCCTGTGAATTCCTCATTAAAAATTGTATTGAATTAATGTACATGTATATACTTATTGTATTAATTGTATATCTATGTAATGTAAAGCGCTTTAGAGTGGCTTATGTTAGCTAGATTGGGCGCTACATCAAATGTTGTATATATGGATTTATACAGATATTCAATGCTCTTCATAAAATAACAACTAAAGGGCAAATTAACTTCCGTGTTTGGAGAATTATTCAACATATTTCATTTGTATAAAACGAATATGTGATAACAACCAACAAACCAAAATGGTGTTTATTTTCACCATGCCTTAAATTGTAATGCTCCTGTCCTCCCCGTAGTGCGAGATTCAGACCCAGCAGGTACAGGAGAGTGTCATGCAGTTTGTCCGAAATATCAGAAGCAAGAATCCCACATCCCCACATTTTCTCTTCATCCTCCACATATATTACATGGGACTGTTGCTTTTCTATCCCAACACCTTTGGCTGCCAAATCCTTCATCTTTTTGTCAAGTTCGCAACGTATCCCTTCAAATTCAGCATCGTCCAACAATGTCACACATTTACCGTTTACACGTAAATAGTCAAAATAGTCAAATAAGGACATTGTCAAAAGAAACATATGCAAAAATTGCTGCAAATTTGACAAAAGGTGTGAAAGATCTTTTATGTAAATCGTCTTATGTCCCGGCTTCTTATTACGTTATTACCAAATCATTGACATTTGGCCTAAACGTGCGGTTAAACCTAGATATTGAGCGTGAACGGAATATTCTGAACAACACAATTAATGTCATTTACAATTTATATGATTATGATCAAAATAGATTCGAGTATGCAGGATTCGTTCCCTCGTGGTTGATGGACTGTCAGTATGTCATTTTCATAAACAGGTTTGGTGTCCATCAGCTTTTCTGCATTTTCTTGTTATGATTAATATTGACCGACCGTATCAGTCATAAACAAGAGGCCAAGGGGCCTTAATAGCTCACCTGGTATTTTATTTTCAATTTTAAACCTGCTGAGTACCATACAGGTTTATCAAAGGAGTACAAGAAACAAAGTTGCAAGAAGAACTACACATAAATATGTTTTGGTGGGAATTAGACACCAAAAAAATGAGTTTCCATGTTATGTCCCAATTGTCCCAAATTTAAACAAAATGAGTTTTTTTCCCCTAAGCATGCTTCAGACCACATTTGGTTTAAATCCCTTCATTTGTATTATAGTAGGAGAAAACAATCCTCTATTTCCCCATCTTCCATTCATAAATATTAAATTCCTTTTGCCCAAAGATTCTCTAGAACAAGTTTAGTTAATATCCCTTCAACGGTACAGAAGGAGAAGGATCTTTAATATTTCCTCTATTTCCCCTTACGGGCACCACCCATCTGCCCCAAATAAGGAGGCCCACACAACCCAGTTTATACAAAATTGAATTTCAGAATTGATTCTTTTGTCTTTCGTCTTTTGTCTTTTGACCCTTTGGGCCAGGTGAGTTAAAAATGAAAGAATTAAAATAACATTGTTCTGTTATGTCTTTACACATTGCCAAATATCAAAGGTTTTTGCAAATGAAAAAACTACTTAGTGAATCACAATATTTATTGTTATTCACATAAAAGTCGTGGTTTACATGTTAATAATTAGACTAAAAGGATTTCCCATAACACAGGAGATTCTTCTAGGGCCTAGTATATTTTTTTCAGCTATGGGAGGGGAAACATGTCAAATACCCTTCCCCTCCTCCAGCTCAACGTGCCTCGGACGCTGGACTCTCTGTAAGCATACACTACGAAAATTGATTTGCTACGCCACTGAATAAGATGATTTGGACGAATCACTCTGCAACTTTGGATAAACTACATTAGTTTTTTTTAATGTGACCTTGAAAATAAATAAAGGTCATTCATTTTAACAAACGTGGTCGCCAATCATCCAGCATGCTACTGGCCAATTATCATCACCCTGGGCATTTTGGTTATTCAGAAAAAGTTGTTTAAAGTTTTTGACATATTTGACCCCTGTGACCTTGAAAATAGGTGAAGGTAATTTATTTGAGCAAAATTGGTAGCCCTTCATTCCAGTTTGCTTCTGGCCAAATATCATCACCCTAGGCCTTTTGGTTATTAAGAAGAAGTTGTTCAAATTAAAATATTGACACCGGACGGACGACGCCGCACCACGACATAAGCTCACTTAGGCCAGGTGAGCTAAAAACGAGAAATAGAGAAAGAAAGATGCTCACGTTTGACTCCTGTGACCTTGAAAGAACATAATAGCCCTCAATTCCAGCAAATAATACAGATTAAATATTCTCACAAGCGGGTATGTCTTATTACTGATTATACAGGTATATCTACCCACAGTACAGGTATGTCTTTTTACACAATACACAGGTATATCTACCCACAGTGCAGGTATGTCTTATTACACAATATACAGATATATCTACATACAGTACAGGTATGTCTGGCATAGCCTCGGGTTTTACCAAATTTGAAATCCCTCAGGTAAAATTTCCCTATGTTACACCCTTGCATGTGCATGAAAGAGTGTTATAATCTTTTCACCAAATACCCAGGTGTATCGAACCACAATTACACCTATTTCTTATGACCCAAAACACAGGTATATCTTCCTTAGGAACAGGTATCACATTACTGAATACGCATACATTTTAGTCAATACACACCAGTCATTTAAATGCTACGGTTTATAATTCTTTATTATCACTGCATGTCTGTCGGTAACCACGCTCAACAGGGAAGTTAAACAGGTAGATCTACGCATTGCTGCAGTGATGGGCATATCTGATATTACTAACTAGTCAGCAGCATTGTCAAATTCAGCCGAACTTTTGACTTTAAGTTTTGATCAAACTTTTACAATGTCAGCAGGAAAGTGACAGATTTACCAGCCAAGCTAGAGTGAAGTTCATCATGTGATTGTGAATTCTAGGGCTGGATAAATACGGACAATGTAAGTGAACTTTCTGAAGTGTGGCATGGAAAACTTGGATTCATCATCACAGTAACCCTGTGACATCAGTCATCGTGAGGTAGTTATTCTACAGTGTTTTTACATTGCTATAAGTTTAATAAACATATACTACTGAATGTGACATTTACAAGTCAAGTTTTCTTTCCTTTGCATAACAAACTCTTATTTGTGAGTGTTTACTGATAACAATATCTTTATACAAGAACGACAAACATCTTCAAGTCTTCAACAAATATCAGCTTTCCATCATAATGGCAACCCCTAAAAGCCAATTTCCACTCCGTATTAAAGGTCAAACGACCTGTATTCACCACAAGGGGAGGCAATTGGAGTTTTATTGTGAAAAGTGTCAGGAACCGGTTTGTTCAAAATGCCTTTCTTCTATTCACAAAACTTATACAGTTTGTGAACTAAGTGAAATCATTCCCCAGAAAGAACCAGACATTAAAAACTTTATAGACAGAACAGAAAAAAATGACCTTGTACAAATTGGAAAATACATCACCACTACTGATACGCTCCTTAAAGACAACGCCAGTACTTTTGAGAAGCTGTCACAAAATTTAAAAATGCAAACAGATAAATTAAAACAAGAGCTGGACATGCTTACAGCACAGACACTCTCTCTTTATCACAAAATGGAAGAGGATAATACCAAGCTGATAAAGAAATACAAACAGGACCTCGAGATGTACGAGAAGCAACTCAAACAACAAATTCAAGAATGCAAAGCAGCTCTCCAGCGTGGTTCACACATACAGATTTATGATACATTTTGTGAGATCCATTCTCCTACACACAGTCTCCCTGTAACACCTGTCATGGGTACTGTCAACTTCACTCCAAATGAAAAACCTCAAGATCACTTGAAAAAAGCCTTGGGGAAAGTTACCACATCAGGTCAAGGTCGAACTTTAACTGACCAGGATCGGTCAGTCTCAACATCTGATGATCGGGGACAACCCTCTTCACAACAACAACGGTCCGGAACAAAAGGAAAGAAAGCAGTGACAACATACAAACTACTTCCACAGACCAAGGTAGTGATGGAATGGGAGTCTCCACGTGACATTTATTCTGTATGTCCCACCACTGATGGTCATGTGTGGACCAAGTACGGGTACACGTTAACTCTCCTGGACAGGAATAGTAAAGTAATACAGGAGGTCAAACACAATGTCGGGTTCAATGATATCAGTCTGTCACCCACCACACACACACTGTGGGTCTGTGATGATAAAAATAACATCATGGAGCTGGTATCAGGACGACTGACGCACAGATTCCGTACCAAGGAGGAACCCTGGTGTATATGTGTTACAGCCAGTAACCATGTAATTGTAGGGATGACCGAACACATCTCCAAATTTACTACAGATGGTAAAATGGTGTGTACAACTATGGCTAAAGGGCCTGGGAAACCATTAGTGTGTTCACCACACAGGATCTCAGAGTGTCCTGTCACTCACAATGTGGCAGTCGCTGATTTCAGTCGTGAAAGTGATGGTGGTGATGAAAATCAACATGTTGTTGTGATGGACACTGATTTCATGGAGCTGTTTGTATATAGAGGCGTCATCCCCAGTACATATAGACCAACACCACAAACAGGAGGTGAACCGTTTAACCCCTGGGGTGTGGTGTATGACAGTGTGGGGAACCTGATCATAGGGGACTGTGACAACTACAGGGTCCTACTCATCAGTGGAGGTGGTGAGTTCCTCAGGGTCATACACACAGACACAGGCTATACATGGACTGTAGGTATAGACAGGGAGGATGTCCTGTGGGCAGTGTTTGGGTCATGGCCTGTTAGCACAGTCAAACTACTACAGTACAGCAGTGTGTGACAACTCTAACCAAACAACTAGTAAATCTAGTTACCAGGATAGTGACATGGAAATCAGAGACAAAGGAAACTTATCACGATTACAAATCAACTAACGATGTGTGACATTCACAGGATTATTAGCAAAACGTCTAAGACTACAGATGGTGTGGCATTCACAGGATTATTAATAAAATGCCTAGACTACAGATGGTGTGACATTCAGAGGATTTTAAGTAAAATGTCTAGACTACAGATTGTGAGACATTCACAGGATTATAAGTATAATGTCTAGACTACAGATGGTGTGACATTCACAGGATTATAAGTAAAAGGTCTAGACTACAGGATGCAAACAATTATCGATTAGGCTCCATTTTCCATTGAACAGGTAACAAAACAGTTTTTTGCATTAGCAATCAACAGTTAAAGGTATTGGGACAAACCTAAATAAATGTCTCTCTGAGGCCAAACCAAACATTTTGAGTCATACAATCACTCACATTTTGAGTCATGCAATCACTAACATTTTGAGTCATACAATCACTCACATTTTGAGTCGTACCATCACTCACATTTTGATTCATACAATCACTCACATCTTGAGTCGTACAATCACTCACATTTTGAGTCGTACCATCACTTACATTTTGAGTCGTACCATCACTCACATTTTGAGTTGTACAATCACTCACATTTTGAGTCATACAATCACTCACATCTTGAGTCGTACAATCACTCACATTTTGAGTCGTACCATCACTTACATTTGAGTCATACAATCACTCACATTTTGAGTCGTACCATCACACATATTTTGAGTTGTACAATCACTCACATTTTGAGTCATACAATCACTCACATTTTGAATCGTACCATCACTCACATTTTGAGTCGAACAATCACTCACACTTTGAGTCGTACAATCACTCACACTTTGAGTCATACAATCACTCACATTTTAAGTCATACAATCACTCACATTTTGAATCGTACCATCACTCACATTTTGAGTCGAACAATCACTCACACTTTGAGTCGTACAATCACTCACATTTTGAGTCATACAATCACTCACATTTTGAGTCATACTATCACTCACATTTTGAGTCGTACAATCACTCAAATTTTGATTACATTAATATTGTCATGTACTTCTAGCGTCAATGTGTTTCGCAGTCAAGTTTTATCTTAAAAGACATCATCTTGGTCTCGTTGCTCAGACTTTCATCAGCAACCCTTTCCCTGTCATACGTAGTGCTTGCTATACACGATATTATTTATGAAGCCCTATTTCTATATTCACCATTGATATCACCTCCCATACTCATGAATTTCTCAGTTGATTTCTTATTAATACAGAATTTCCTTGTTCTTAAGTTTGCCAGATGCCAGGGCTCCGGGAAATATGATGTGATGCTGACTTTCAAGCAATTGTACTCATCATATACACAACATCTATGAAATCCAAATGACTAACTCTTAATATACAGTAACATCTCGTTACACTGCTACTGTTTGTCCAGAGAATTGCTGACATTATAAAGAGATTGGCAATAAATTGAAGGAAATTTACAGAATAATTATTAAGGAAAAAAGGAAAAGGGACCTTAACATTTGTTGGCAAGGTGGCAAATAAACGGAGTGGCATTATATCTAGGTTTTACTGTACATAACTTCTGGAGACAATATATATATATATAATTTCAATTGTTTGGTGGGTTGGAATTAGGGTGGACTTATTTTCTCTATGTTATGCAGCCCAAAAGGTGGTGTGTATTGGTCTGAGAATTGCACATGCAAATTCCTATCGCGTCATTTACAATGTAAGTGACACAGTTAGCGGCAGGCAGACGTGAAATTTAATTTTACTTAAAGAAATCGGGGCTGTTATTTGGTTAAAGTGGAATTCAAATCATCAAATTAATTTTGTATTTGATATCCTGTTATGGGAAATCAGAGATGTGGGGAGTAATCTGGATCAATTTTAAAGTAAATCTAATGATTAAATACAATCCTTTGTTTGTAGGTGCATACGTGCTTTATGTCCATAACACGTATTGTTGTGTTTGAAAATGATTAGTTTGTTTAATAAATCAGTCGCAGTGCCTCTTTGTCAGTGAAATACATTTCTGTATATTGTGTTGTTTATCCTGTTGGATAATTAAATAGAGAAGTATCGAGAGCTGAACCCTAGGATTACAAAGACACAAGGGTTTTGAAGATGCAAGTCACAACGCAGCGAAGCAGACTATCTACAGAAATCCTCTGCATTATGATCATTTATAAACTACCCTGTCATTACACTGAGAAGAAAAAAATGATTGCCAGGAAGTATAATGTACCAGGCTCGGGGAAGATCAGAATATTTGATATGATTAATTCTTGAAATTGGACAACGGATGCGAATTGTCAACAAGAGGCCCAGATGGCCTGTATCGCTCACCTGAATATATTTTAAATAATTGGTATGAAGTAAAGATATAGCACTCCATTGTAGGTGCTGTAAGTACATATATGAAATTTCAGAAAGATCTATCCAGTACTTGAGATATAGCTAGAACATACTTCAAACAAGGCCCCACTCCTATGCCCCTAAGGGGGTCATACCCACCAATTATACAAAATTGAGTCCCCTTGGCCCAAGGTTGCTCCAGACTAAATAAAGATAAAATCCCTTAATCCCGAAGGTCGAAGAAGGATTTTAAAGGTTTTACCTCTATTTCTCCTATTGGGCCCCATCCTTCTGCCCCTTGGGAGACCACACTCACTGCTTATACAAAATTGAGTCCCCCTAAATAATTTGCTATGTTTCCTCTATTGGGCCACGCCCCTGAGGCCCCAGACCCAATATTCATACAAAATTTGTTCCCCTTTACCGAAGGATGCTCCACACCAAATATGGACCAAATCCTTGCATGCCTACAGATGAAGGATTTTAAAGAATCATTTGCTATGTTTCCCCTATTGGGGCCCGCCCCTCGACCCCTGGGGTGCCAGACCCAGTGTATACAAAATTGGTTCCCCTTCACCCAAGGATGCTTCAGACCAAATATGAAACAAACCCTTTCATTCCTACAGAAGAAGGATTTTAAAGAATTTGCTATATTTCCCTTATTGGACCCGCCCCTTAGCCCCCAGGGGGAACAGACACACCATTTATACAAAATTTGCTCCCCTTCCCCAAGGATGCTTAAGACCAATTATGGAACAAATCCTTTCATTCCTACAGAAGAAGAAGGATTTTAAAGAATTTGGTATGTTTCCCCTATCGGGCCCCGCCCCTCAGCCCCCACGGGGAATATACCCACCATTTATACAAAATTGGTTCCCCTTCACTAAAGGATGCTTCAGACCAAATATGGAACAAATCCTTTCCTTCCTACAGAAGAAGAAGGATTTTAAAGAATTTGTTATATTTCCTTTATTGGGCCCCGTCCCTCAGCCCCTAGGGGGAACAAACCCACGGTGTATCCAAATTGGTTCCCCTTCCCCAAAGGATGCTTCTGACTAAATTTGGTCAAAATCTGCTCAGTTAATCATGATTAGTAGCGATCTTTAGGAAAAGAGGACGGACGGACGACGGACGCTGCTGTATGGTATAAGCTCACCAGGGTCCTTCTGACCAGGTGAGCTTAAAATGTTGATTCAACATTGTGTAATGGTCAACTGATTGACAGAACAGTGAACGATGTAGATGAGATTATGTTGGGTAACAATCGTAAAACATATCACAAGACCGACCTAGAAATAGTTCAAGGTCAGTTTGTGAATTGAACAAGAATGCCATGGAATCGAAGTTGGTAGTTACCTGCCCCCCCCCCTGCTAATTTTCAGATTTGTGTCAAAATCAAACTTGAGTGAAAATTGATACAATAGACATGTGTCGATTGTTGCATAAATATCAAAGCATTAGTTCATATGGTATCGCACAAAAGCCATGTAACTTATGAGAAAAAAAAATCAAATTGGCTATTGAGGCCATGTTGATTTCATAACTGGTTCAAAATCAACTTGAGTGGATAATTGATACCATAGTTATGTGTGGAAAATTTTATGAAAACAAAAACAATTCTGCAAAGGTTATTGCATGGAAACCACTTCAAACGGCCACTGGTGGCATTATTGAATTTCAAAATCAATCTATTCTTTTCTAGTTATCAAATAAAAACCACCTCAGGCCATACTGAATGTCAGGTTTGCGTCGCAGACAGACAGACAGCCAGACATTCTTTATTTTTTCTCGTTGTAAAGAATTTACAGCCATGCCAGCGTTTTGTTATCAAGGGTTTAGTCCAAAATAGATCAGAGTACTCAAAGCTCGCAGACAGACAGACGAACATTCTTTATTTTCGCACTGTAAAAAATGACAATTTTCTGTAGGAAATTATTCTTACTTGGTGAGAATTATCATTGGAGGAAGATGGTTTTAAATTGTAAAATTGGGATTCCTACCACAACTCTAGGGGCCAGGACGGGCTCCCAAAGGAAAATTGACTAATATTTCAAAAATCTTCTTCTCCAGACTCAGAGGTACTACAGTCATTTTCAGTGAACGGATAGAAAGATCATCATTATTGAAATTGTAAATTTCAGGACCCCTGAGCCATCTGTCCCCCTTGGGAGGGGATAAAGTTTTCTATAGTTTATATAGGGAAATAACACTTTTGGGTATATGTTATCCAGCAGAAAATTATTCAAACTTGGTCAGAATCATCTTTGGTGGATGAGGGTATTATATTGTAAAATTGGCATTCCTGCCCCATCCCCAGGGGCTAGGGCGGGGCCCCAAAGGGAACATTCACCAATATTTTAAAATTATTATCCTTTGATGACATGACAAGTATTGTATTGTGTTTACATGCTGATTTCCACATCACATCTAAACCATAAACTAAAGCTACCAGTACCTATGATATAACTCAGGTGACCGCTGAGGCCCTTGGGTCTCTTGTTTCACTTAGAAGATTATTTACTTAACACAACATATACAAAATTGGCAATGTTCAGCATCAGACTCGACCAGAAGTCGTTTTAGAGGAATGTGTTTCTTTTGCTGCACAGAATAAAATTACTGAAATTGAATACCTATTCTCAACTTGTATTTGGTCTCTGGTCCGTTATAAAAATTGGCTATCATCTATCACAATTCTACTATGTACATCAGAAGAAACTCGTGGTCGCGTAACGGTACGATAGACTGATTTTGAAGTCGGTTTTCACTCCTTTGTAATCTTCAAAGGACAGGTATCTGTCTAGCGATAGGTCAGGTTTCTTTACCCGAGACCAATCAAATACCGTCAAATTTGCTATGACATATTAAAGGGGCGCAGAGAGCGAAAGTGAGCGTTAACTCGGGAGTATCGAGGATGACCAAACACTTGCTTTTGTGAGCAAATCATTCAACTTTACGTCGATACACTTTTTGTTTAAAATCGGCAAAACTGACATTAAATTTACTCCAGCCCGAGAAAACAACGTCTCTCAATGGTTGACGATTCTACGTAATTTGGTCAATTAAACTGGCTTTAAATATATTTTATTAACCAGAATTGGAAAATAGGATTTGGCACAAGTTATAACAACTTATGAAGCCATCTCCTTACAACAATAATTCAAAAGAATAGATGATGATATAGGCTGTCAATTACAAGTCATAGTAGTATGAAGCGATTTTTAAAGTAACACATACACATACAAAAATTTAAAATTAAGGTCAAGTTCATAATCGAAACATGTTAAAATCTTCCACTGGATCTAATAAAAGTTTGCATTTGTTTGAATACATCACAATTTGTATCCAAAGTCAGATTTTCATTTCCAAACAGTAATAATTTCAACGTTAAATATACATTTAAATGATTTATATGATCAAAAAGTACAGTACGAGCATTTGTATAAGGTTGACATTCAAAGAAGAAGTGATAGGCATTGTCGCAATGGTAGCCACAATTTGTACAATTGGATTCTTGGACCAAGTTTGCACGGTAAAGATCATGTTTGAGAGGACTGCATTCTTGACTTAGTCTGGTATGAAGAATGTTTAGTTTTCTGTCACCACGTAGGTAATGAGGGGGTACTGTATATGGTATGTTGGGGACTAGAGCTGATTTGACAGATGAGAAAGACGTGGATCTAATATGATAGTCTAGAGTATTCCACATTTTAATGAAGAAGGCAAGAACGATAAACTAGTAGTAGAGAGTCTGAAATTGGGAATTTTGTAGTTATCATTATTTCTAAGAGCATGTCGGTTTTCTCCTACCTTAGTGGGACGTCGATTTGTTAGGTAGTTCGAGATTTGATGCCTATCCATTTTGTAGATCAACTGAAGTTTTCGTCTTCTTCTTCTATCCGAAAGTAATTCAGGACCAGTTTCGGTATATAATTATTCATTTCTAGCATATGACGGTAAACCTGTAATTATTCTAGCTACTTCACGTTGAGCCCTCTCTAACTTTTCAGAATCGACCAGAGTACAACCATCCCAAACCTCACATGCATATTCTAAAACTGGTAATATATAAGTTTTGTAAAATTCTTAAGAGAGCATCCCGCTTCAACATATATTTTAGTTTTCGCAAAATTTGTTTTTTTCATTACCGATTTATAGATTTCATTTACATGATCTGACCATTTTGCATCTGAATTGAATGTTACTCCAAGGTGTCTATGCGTACTGTTAAAATTCAAAATATTTCCATCAAAAATCAGTTCAAGATCTTCATCTATATCATTTGAATTTGATATGAAAATAACTTCCGTCTTATTTGGATTGAAAGTGACAAGCCAAGTGTTAGCCCACCTATTCAAAGCTTCCAGGTCCCTATTCAAAACTGTTTGTATATCTAGACAATTAAACACAAACACTTCCTTCTTCCTTAGTCGTGTATTGATTTGGACGTACGTTTTGATGTATCGACGTAGCTAGGGACAGTCGAAGGGATAGATTACCTTATCAAACAAACACCAAACTAACAAACAGGCTGTTTTGTATTGGACGTATTTCATAATCAACAAACAAAAATAAAACAGATCCACACACAAAACAAAACAGAGAGTTTTAGAACAGAGCAGAATAAAAGGTAAAGCGGGTAAAAATGAACTGGCAATTTTGTAAAACGAACAGCTGGTTTTACATAACAGGAAGCCGCAACTATAAACAGGTAACTTTAAAATCAACATGTGATTTTATAAAAGTGTTTACAAAATTATTGTCCGTTAGTTTCATATCAATGTGTGTGACTGGCAATACTATCAAACGTCCGTTTATTTTAAATTATGAAAGTTTGTGTACTTTTCATTTCGTCTATTTATTATATATTATGCCATTTTTGTTATTATGTGTTCGTTTTATAAAATAAATGTTTGTTTAAATATTCGATTGTTTATTACGCCTCTGCGGCTACCCTGATCACACCTTATAGCCACTATAAGCAATATCTATTTTTAACCTGCGATATCGTCTGCTGGATAACCGAACTACTCGGTAGTGATCGAAGCGGACGTTAAACCTATCAATCAAAACCTGTGATAAAATTGAAATGAGTCATTCTGTGTTTATCAACAAATGATGACATGGCTAGGACGAGAGTTTGGTATTACTGTGTGCTTATTTATAAATATAATGCTCACCGTGAGTAACCAATCGATATAAAACAAGGACTGTAGCTCTTCACTGACATTCGCACGCTGTAAAGAGGACAGATACACACCTGTAGCTTAAATTCCTACTACTAATTTAATGAACTGCTTGAAGACTGTACCAAGCCTCGAGATATTTCGAGTCTTATTATAAATTAATATTAATGTTCTTAAAAATCACTAAAACATTTAATATTTAACTTCGTGTATTTATATATAACATTTTAACATCTTGGAAGACCATCTCGTCAGCCTATGATGTCTGGTAAGAGCTCTAGCTGCACGGCCTGTGGTCACAAGTCTCGCGTTAGTAAGGAGCGCACGTACACGGACGATGATTATGACTATCTGTGTAAAGGTATGTAGTATAAAAGGATGCCAGCATGTCAATGAGATTGTTATATTCACAGAAAAAAACCTTAAAAAATCTCAGAAATCTTCAGGAAAGGATACAAAAAGAAATGACGTCATTTCAATGAGAATTAATACGCGGGCCATTATTGTATGAAGTATGGTTATCTCCTGGACTGGTATTCATCACGACAGTAATTAACAATCTAGGATTTTTCCTAATATTTATCTTAGCTTTATATACTGACTGATCGAGTAAAACGATATATTGAAGAGCCGGTCCTTTCCTAGTATAAGTCTCTGTCAGTACTTCAGTAATTGTAATGTTTGTAACAATGAATGTTTATGTTTTTCAGTGGTACTTATGGGAGACACAGGAGTTGGGAAAAGTAACCTGTTGTCCAGATTCACTAGGAACATGTTCAAATTAGACAGTAAATTTACAATTGGCGTGGAGGTTGCTACAAGGTAAAGTATACTTATTACAACTTTTATGTTACATTTATTACTATTTACAAGTTAATATTCACACTTCCACGTATATTTCTATAAGGTATATGCTTTATAATATTTATCATTATGTATAGCTTTACTATGTATGCTATCTAGACGTTATATATTATATTTATTATTATACATAACACTACCATGTACATATCTAGACGTTATATCTTATATTTATTATTATATACAACATTACCATGTATATATCTTGAAGTTATATATTATATTTATTATTATATAGAACACTACCACGTATATATATTTTGAAGTTATATATTATATTTATTATTATATACAACACTACCATGTATATATCTTGAAGTTATATATTATATTTATTATTATATACAACACTACCAGGTATATACATTGTATATATAGACGTTATATATTATATTTCATATTATATTTTACATTACCAGGTATATATAGATATCTAGACGTTATATATTATATTTATTAACATATTTAACACTACCATGTGCATGTATGTATCTAGACGTTATATATTATATTTATTATTATGTATTACACTACCCCGTAAATACAACTATTTAAAACGAAGTTTTCTTCTAATTGCAGAAATACACAAGTGGACGGAAAGACGATGAAAGCACAGATCTGGGACACAGCTGGTCAAGAGCGATTTCGAGCCATCACTAGCGCGTAAGTAAGGCTTATAAGGTTGGAACCAATCCCTGTACAATTTGCTTGCGTCTGTAGTAGATACTTGTGTACAGGACCATATTTTTCTAGACAACCATCATTTTGTAGTTGTCCGCTGGGACACAAATTCGCTCTTCTAATAACATGATTTTCACACCTACCTATCAGCATGGGAGAGATACAAGTAGACATTGGTACCAGCGATTCATGGAAATGGGTTAAACCATAAACTGTTTTTGAGGGTGTTACTGCAATATGAATAACATAATCCCATATTATTTATCATTTAATACAAACGAGCTGTGCATTTCGAAGATATGCCAGTATAGTATTGCAAAGCCTAAACTCATACCAATTACCTGGGGCTGTTACCTTTTTGGCATATTCCTCATTATCATCGCTAAGGAATAGTTTCCTCCTTACAGGTACTATCGTGGAGCTGTTGGGGCGTTACTAGTCTATGATATAGGTAAACACCCGACATATGAGAATGTGGAGCGCTGGCTGAAGGAGCTGCGGGACCATGCTGATAATAACATTGTCATCATGCTGGTGGGCAACAAGAGTGACTTACGTCATCTACGAGCTGTGCCTACAGACGAGGCCAAGGCCTTTGCAGGTAATGGCTAATTAAATTTAATTGTCAGAAATGAAACTTTGAATCTGTGTTCATTACGTTATAGTTGGAATTAGGTTAATTCTCCGTTGGTCCATTGGAAGTTGGACTAAGATTATTCTGCATTATAAAAAAAACTTGTTTTCAATAAACATGAAAAAATAAAGTTTAACCTTTATTCCAACGATATTGTGCTGGTATTTATCATAGGGACCTGAGCATTTGTTACAGCTATATTTGGACCTTAACTACTGTGTTTAGAGTAATTTTACATGTTTTAGGGGTTTAGATCGACTGTCGGCAAAAATGACACCCCCAATGATGGACCCGATGTCAACCTGACTGCTAGTTCATCTGTCAATATTAACTGTTATATTGTTTCAACTGTTTTGTTTCACTTGCAGAGAAGAATAACATGTCTTTCATAGAAACATCAGCCCTGGATTCTACCAATGTGGAAACAGCATTTCAAAATATATTAACAGGTATTTCGATTTTCACCCGTTTTGTACTTATTTCCTTTTAATGTCAAAATATACCTTTTTAAGCTTTGTATTTTTTTTTAAATGACAAGTGATGCTGTGTTCCAACACCTCAGTTGTAATACGTTGTAAATAAAAGTTGTATACTTGTGTGCTTTGTATATTTAAGGTTTTGAGAAAAGTTTCACAGCTGGTATAAAAAAAAATCCATAGCAAATATCTAAAATATTTCTAAGGAAATTCTGTTATTATGATGGTTTTATATCTCTTCTATTTTTGTGTATATATGTGCTGAATGCTTTAGCAAAAATATCACAGATTACATATATAAACAAAAGTACATACATGTAGAAATGATGGTATTTATGATATTGATATGTTCTTTCTTCTTTTTCCTTTGACAGAGATTTACAAAATAGTATCTATGAAACAGATACGGGACAGTAACGACGACGATAACTCGCCCAGTAGCAATGTACAAACAATACAGGTGGCGCCTACAGACAATTCTATGCCTCGCCCACAAAAGTGTTGTAATGTCTGAGACTGCCCCTTCACATTTCGTGGTTTAACCTAACACTTTCATCACTGAAGACCATAATGGACTCAACCAGATCAAAGCCTGGAAGTGTTTACTAAAGTTACATAGGGGTGAGAGGGTTAACTTTCCGGTTGCGACGTATTATGTAACCGATATCCGTTCATATGTCGCTCAATGATTTCACCTCTCTAGCGCTTTCATGTCGCTCGTTGGTGTCACCTCTCTAGCACTTAAATGTCGCTCGTTGGTTTCACCTCTCTAGCACTTAAATGTCGCTCGTTGGTGTCACCCTCTAGCGCTTAAATGTCGCTCGTTGATGTCACCTCACTAGCGCTTTCATGTCGCTCGTTGATATCTCCTCTCTGACACTTTAATGTCGCTCGTTGATGTCACCTCTCTAGCACTTTAATGTCGCTCGTTGATGTCACCTCTCAAGCGCTTTAATGTCGCTCATTGATTTCACCTCTCCAGCGCTTTAATGTCGCTCGTTGATGTCAACTCTCTAGCACTTTAATGTCGCTCGTTGGTGTCACCTCTCTAGCACTTTAATGTTGCTCGTTGGTGTCACCTCTCTAGAGTTTTAAAATGTCGCTCATCGATGTCACCGCTCAAGCGCTTTCGTGTCGCTCATTGGTGTCACCTCTCTAACACTTTCGTGTTGCTCATTGATGCCGACTCTCTAGCACTTTAATGTCGCTCGTTGGTGTCACCTCTCTAGCGCTTAAATGTCGCTCTAAGATGTCATCTCTCGAACACCTAAATGTCGCTCGTTGATGTCACCTCTCTAGAGTTTTAAAATGTCGCTCATCGATGTCACCTCTCAAGCGCTTTCGTGTCGCTCATTGATGTCACCTCTCGAGCGCTTTCGTGTTGCTCATTGGTGTCACCTCTCTAGCACTTTAATCCATCTCGGATTTCCATGAAACTGTCCAGAAAATCAGATGAAATACCTAGGAAGCTAGAAGGAGTTGGGGTACTGCACTCTACACCCAAGTTCAGCCTCACTCTAGATAGTAGCCCGAGTTTCCTCTGGCCCCGACACCAGACTTAAGACATTTTGACAGATAGATGTCTGGTCCATCTATCTGTCAAAATGTCTAAGTCTGGTGTCAGGGCCAGAGGAAACTCGTGCTATCCAAATAGGTGCACCCTTCTTGTGCATTCACTTGTGGTCGGATGTACATAGGTTTAGTGTTAATTCTGCTTGAACCGCTCCGCTGTTCAGCATTTTTACCAAAGTCAAGGTCAACATATCTATAAATAGAAGAATTGTGTGTTGTTGTAGTACTTTTAGTTATGATCAAAGTGGCAGGAGCTTTATCACATAATGTACTGTGTTACCCATGTCATATATTTGCGTATTGTAATATGACCTACCAACCCTATGATTGGTTGTAAGTTTCAATTGTGACGTCACGCCTAGGACAAGTACATGGCGTCACAGACTTACGCACTGGAGTCAAAATGGCGGCTTTTTACATTTCAAGGTTGCATGAAAATAGTCGTTTTACACGAATAAATGCCACGAATCTTGATTATGTGATAAAAGATCTTACACTCGTTATAGTTTCATATGAAGTTTATGAAACTAGTCACGAATTTTTCACTTTAGCTTGCTAAATTGATTTTTTTTAGACTCGTTTCATAAATCTCATATGAAATGGAAACTCATATAAGATCATATATGTCTTATATTCTCTATCATCAAAGCAGACCAATGAATTCAAATAAAACTTTTTTTTTAAATTATAAATTTCTGTTTAAAGCAGATATCAAACAAAAGGCCCATGAATCCTGTATCGCTCTCATGTTTCTTCTCGTGTCTGAAGTAGACAATCGGTTACAAAAAAGGCCAGGGAGACCTGACAAGTACAACACTCGTTCAGGACCGTGAGAGTAACTTCTGACATTTTAAATGAATTTAAATTTTAAAAGTTTTAAATGTTTTAAATAAAAAGGAAGAGGTAGAGGAATTGTACCAAAGCAAATCAAAGGCGAAGACGAACATCTTTGATTCAAATGTATCTCCTCCCCACAAAAGATAATTTACATCAGATTATTTTTGTTTGTTTGTTAAAACTCGATAAAAAGGTATAAAAGGAATATTCTTAACAATTAACCTCTGCTTCCCTTATTGGACATACCCACTCTCTCCTGATTTTTAATGTTACAGAAAAAACTGATTTGATTAAAATCCCTTCTTCTGTACTGAGGAGCAATCCCTTAAATACTACCGTTAACTACTATTTCCCACATTTGAAATGTGTGTATCGCCATGTTGATTTGCCATATTGCTAATGTTTCCTTTGTGGCATCTTCAGAGCTACATCATGATCACCCAGCTGTCCCACGTGTAATATAATATAGACACTGAACAAGGACACCACTGTAGCAATGGAATACACTTTATTACAGCTTTCATCAACATAAATAATATCACAGTGAGGTCATGATCAATAACATGAAAGGTATCCAGGCCATATATTGACTGCTGTATTATAAGTTAGGGAGGATCAAAACAAAAGTATACATAACACAGGGCGTGCGAGTCAGTAAAATAAGGTAGTTAATGCAAAAAACACTGCTGGTAATGCAAATTGCAGATTTAATGCCAAATTCAAGAAAAAATTGATTGAAAACAAAATGAAGAAATCAATGTTTGTCTTTTTTAAAAGGTCAATCCTAATAATGTATTAATAATTAAAATTAAATTTGGCACTTTTCAGACTACAGAGATTTAAATAAAAATCAAGCAAAATACATAATGTCCATTAAACATTCGAAATTATGCAAATGACAAGAGGCCCAAAGGGCCTGTATCGCTCACCTGGATACCTAAGCAATCATGGCAAAATTTTCTCTAAATGAGATCCAAGGGAATATGCCAGACCCAAAGGCCAATCCTTGTAGCATATCTGTATTAGATTTTTCGTACCCAGCAATTTTATGTAGGGTTATGGGGACGGGATCACAACTGTTTCCAAGCTGTGACTCGGAAACTAGGTCCCTAGGGTTGTAGCCAGACCCTAGGATCAATTCTAATATCATGACTGCATTTGTCTCTTTTTGCCCAGCATTTGTATATATAGTTTTGGGGTGGGGATCTCAAACGTTTCACAGTTATGATCCAGGGGTTAAGTCTGCAAGGGTGGGGCAGACCCTGGGGTCAATTCTAATATCCTGACTGCATTCGTCTCTTTATGCCCAACAATTGTATATGTAGTTTTGGGGTGGGGATTTCAACCATTTCGAAGTTATGACCCAGGGGTTAAGTCTCCAAGGGTGGGGCAGTCCCCAAGGCCATCCTGGAAGCATATGTGCATTCATATGGTTATAGGGTGGGGCTCTCAACTGTTTCCAAGCTGTGAATAAGAAACTAGGTTCCTAGGGGTTCGGTCAGACCCCAGGGTCTATTCTGATATCATGACTGCATTCGTCTCTTTATGCCCAGCATTTGTATATATAGTTTTGGGGTGGGGGATCTCAACCGTTTTAAAGTTATGGCCTAGGGACTATGTATCCAAGGGTTGGGCCAGACCCTAAAGCCATCCTGGAAGCAAATGTGCATTCTTCTCTCTATACTCAGCAATTGTATATATAGTTATATGGTGGGGATCTCAACCATTTAAGTAATAATTTTGTTTTGGCCCCAACCCTTAGCCCGGGGGGTCAGCCCCACCATTTGTACAATTTTGAATCCCTGCCTCCCATGAATGCTTCCGACCAAATATGATCGATATCCATGGCATAGTTCTATAGAAGAAGTCGTTTATAGCAATATAGCCAAATTGTCCCCTTTTGGCCCCGCCCTCAGCCCCCTGGGGGGTCAGCCCCACCATTTGTACAATTTGGAATCTCCACCACCTAGGGATGCTTCCAGTCAAATATGGTTGATATCCATGTTTTAGTTCCAAAGAAGAAGTCGCTTAAAGCAATATAGCCAAATTGCCCGCTTTTTGCCCCGCCCCTCAGCCCCACCATTTGTACAATTTTGAATCCCCACCACCTAGGGATACTTCCAGTCAAATTTATTTAAATTCCAATCAGTGGTTAAGAAGAAGAAGTCGTTTAAAGAAATTGTTGACGGACGACGGACGCCACGGTTTGGCATAAGCTCACTTTGATCCTTCGGACCCGGTGAGCTAATAAAAATCATAATTCATGCTTGGAAAACATCTCACTATGCCCTTATACATTTCGACCAAACTGGACATTAACTCGGCGGAAGAAGACATATCGACAAATGATGACTACAATCACTACCAGGAAGAAGTTTGCCGTCATGGCCCTAATTCGGACACTGGTAGGTAACAAGCTTTGTGAGGATTCAGACTTGAAAGATTCCACGCGAGGCAACAAAAATACACTGCCCATAAACTCGACAATGGCCTGGCCGAGGACCTGGGACACAGAACCGACCACTCTGACCACGTGAGAGATAGCTAAGAGTCCAGACACGGCCAGGAGTGCAATAAACACCAGCCCCGTCACTACCAAGGCCGTGGACAGCGGGAGGGAGGCCAGCTCCACACTGAATCTGTATACTGTGTTACACACCATTACCGCAATAAATACAACACTATGCAAAACGTAGGGTAGGTTCACTCCCATCCTGTTATACAGGTTTCTGGCTCTGTCGAATGGCTGCCACGGATCCTGACCTAATCTGTCCATATTAGGGAGTCGTAAGGTCGCTGGGTTTAACTGCGGGAGTTTATGATACGAGTCCTTACGGAATTTGTTCTCCATGACCTGCCGTTTCTTATAGAGTGCAGAATACCAGGTCTTCAGGTCTCCGGCAAGGTCTTCAACAGAACAAGTTAAATATCTGGTAACATTCTTATATCAGTAAGATCATTATTGCATGTTGATATATAAACACAACTCTGACAGTGGCGGTATGGTAGGGATTATATGTTCACTGGTGATGTATCAATAATCTATAGATATTATTATTCCTTATAGATTTTACAGCGTGTCTGATTGGTTTAAACACATCACATGACAGGATTATAAAACATTGAGTCTCCCTCACGCGATAAATTTTCCCTGTCGAGTATCCCTTCTCGGAACCCATCGGACGAGTTGTCTCTCTTTGTTAGACTCTCAAATGCCCGATGTGTTCCGGACGACACCACAAACATCAAATATGGCTGCGAACGGGATTCCACCTCCCAACAGCTGAAGAACTTGAAGGGCTATTATTGTTGTTTAATTTGATGTAAAATCAAAACACTGACAGTGATAGGTATTTGTAGTATATATATGCTACCAGACCCAATGAAATAAAGGCGAACAGGTACCACCACAGTGACAACACAGGGGCTCGTTACATTGCCTAATGTTGATGTATTTTTGTCATATGTATATAACACAGACTCCACAGATGGGATTTCGGAATAATAAAACAGTTATTGCCCTGGTGTAAGGTGACCTGAAGAGTTGTTCCCCCTCGATAAATCATGTTTCCCGAGGGCGAATTTGATGCCAGAACAAAGGCTTTCTACTTCATTATCCCCAAAAGTCTTATGTTTACATAACAATAGACGGTTATTCTCCCACATTCTACGTTGGATTACAGTCAAAACTGACAATGACTTACAGATATCAAAGACTTTTTTAAGTATGGCATGAATTAACCAAAAATATGCAGAGAGAAAAACTTTTGCAAAAGTTTTAAATTCATGAAGACATCTCCTAAAGAATCGATGTAATAATTGATCTCTTGCAAAAAAAAATTATAATTCATCGTATGCTGAAACTTTTTGCTAAACATGGGACACAATTAGAAACCACTTTCCAAGAACACAACATGTTTTTCCGGACACAAAAAAACAGTCACCAAGACACTTCGAGACAACCCTATTTACTCCCCAATGATATTTTGAGATAACCCTATTTACTCCCCAATGATATTTTGAGATAACCCTATTTAATCCCAAATGATATCTTGAGACAACCCCACTATACTCACCATCTTCACCATGACACTTTGAGATGACCCTATTTACTCCCCAAATGACATCTTGAGAAAACCCCACTATGCTCACCATCTTCACCATGACACTTGGCGATGACTCGCCTACACAGAGGACAAGGTGTGTTGACTGGTGTGGCTCGGGCCAAGCGCCGCAGACACGGGTCACAGAAAACATGGTCACAGGGACTTGTTCTCATTGGATAACAGTAGAGGTCAAGACACACTGGACAGGTGTGTTCCTCAGGATAAACTGGGTCAACATCATTATTCTAAAAATAGATTAAATTGAAAATTATTTCATACGTGTTTGTTATCAAGTGTGTATAATTAAGGGTGCTAAGTCACATGACTAATACATCAACAAGTGTGTATGTCAGATTAACATTTGTGTTCTGCTTTGTGATTGGACAGTGCATCAAACAGCATCCCTTTCCATCATACCACTCCCTTGGATGTTACAGCACCTACACAGCAGCACCCACCACAGACCATTTTATACCTGGATTATTGGAGTTGCGTGTGAAAGAAAATAATCCTTTGAAAATTCATAATAAAAAGAATTTGTTGGAAACACCAGCATGCAGTTGGAAGACTGAGGCATAAGCCACTCTGTCGTTTATACTTTGGTTTGTTGTTCGTCTTAGTAACAGCTATGGTCACTTAAGGAATGCCAGGTTATGATATTTGAACTTAGTCTACATCTTTTGCTTTTATGTTGAGAACTTTACCTAACACGAACATATTGCAGCCTCCCAAAACCCACTCGCATACACTACACGCATGCATCTCGCACACATGGGGTGGCCGTCCTTAAACGACCATAGTTATTGATAGGACGTTAAACAATACTAAACCAAACCAAACCTTACAAACTTTGATGCTAATTAGTATGTAGTGAAAATAAGATTTGAGTATTTCTTTAGAAAAGACAGGTTGTATTTGTTGTTGTTTACTGTTTGGTTACCGCACCGACCACTTAGTAGGTTCCTCAGTCAGAACATTATTACAGTAACAGCTGATTTGACAACTCTGATATATACCTGATCATGATCAGCAGGTGAAGTGTCGGCCTTTGTTATCCCCCGTTTACGTCCACTCCTTTGTTTGGAACGTCTTGGAGCATCAGGATGCCTGTGTTCATCGCCTAGTAAATCTCTGCGACTCAGAGTCAGTCTCTCAGGCTGTTCAGCATTACTGGGACATCCATCATCAGAAACATCCCGGTGTCCTTGGTATACAGGTAAAGCATTAAGACTTGGACCCGACTCTGAGTAGCCTTCAGTATTTGTAGCTACTCCTTCATCAGACAGCGTCCTTATTTCTACAATGTAAGATTTATTTTTGGTTGAATATCAAAACAATGATGTCAAACATGACCATAAATTAGTCATGAAAATGCCACCTGTTGTCCTATTTGCCACACATGCAATCATACAGGACCACATAGCAGTCATACAGGACCAAACGGCAGTCATGTGGGACTAAACGGCAGTCATACAGGACCACACAGCAGTCATGTGAGATGACACGGCAGCCATACAGGACCACACAGCAGTCATGCAGAACCACACAGTGGTCATGGGGGACCACACAGTGGTCATGCTGAACCTAAAGGCAGTCATACAGGACCACACAGCAGTCATACAGGACCACACAGCAGTCATACAGGAACACAGCAGTCATATAGGACCACACAGCAGTCATACAGAACCACACCGCAGTCATACAGGACCACACGGCAGTCATACAGGACCACACAGTAGTCATACAGGAACACACAGCAGTCATACCGAACAACACGGCAGTCATACAGGACCACACAGCAGTCATGCAGGACCACACAGTAGTCATACAGGACCACACAGCAGTCATACAGAACCACACGGCAGTCATACATGACCACACGGCAGTCATACAGGTCCACACGGTGGTCATACAGGACCACAACGTGGTCATACAGGACCACACGGCAGTCATACAGGAACACACGGAGGTCATACAGGACCACAGACCAGTCATAGAGGACCACACAGCAGTCATACAGGACCACACAGCAGTCAAACAGGAACACAGCAGTCATATAGGACCACACAGCAGTCATACAGAACCACACCGCAGTCATACAGAACCACACGGCAGTCATACATGACCACACGGCAGTCATACAGGACCACACGGAGCTCATACAGGACCACACGACGGTCATACAGGACCACACGGCGGTCATACAGGACCACAAGGTGGTCATACAGGACCACACAGCAGTCATACAGAACCACACAGCAGTCATACAGGACCACACAGCCGTCATACAGGACCACACAGCAGTCATACAGGCCCACACAGCAGTCATACAGGAACACAGCAGTCATCTAGGACCACACAGCAGTCATACAGCACCACACGGCAGTCATACAGGACCACACAGCAGTCATGCAGGACCACACAGCAGTCATACAGGACCACACCGCAGTCATACAGGACCACACGGCAGTCATACAGGAACACACGGAGGTCATACAGGACCACAGACCAGTCATACAGGACCAAACAGCAGTCATACAGGACCACACAACAGTCATACAGGACCACCCAGCAGTCATACAGGACCACACGGCAGTCATACAGGACCACACAGCAGTCATACAGGAACACACACAAGTCATACAAGAACACACAGCAGTCATACCGGAACACACAGCAGTCATACAGGAACACACAGCAGTCATACAGCACAACACGGCAGTCATACAGATCTACAGACCAGTCATACAGGACTACACGGCAGCCATACGGGCCCACACAACAGTCATACAGGAACACACAGCAGTCATACAGGAACACACAGCAGTCATACAGAAACACACAACAGTCATACAGGAACACACAGCAGTCATACAGGACCACACGGCAGTCATACAGGAACACACGGAGGTCATACAGGACCACAGACCAGTCATACAGGACCACACAGCAGTCATACAGGACCACACAACAGTCATACAGGACCACCCAGCAGTCATACAGGACCTCACACAAGTCATACAGGACCATACAGCAGTCATACAGGACAACATGGCAGTCATACAGGACCACACGGTGGTCATACAGGACCTCAAGGTGGTCAATCAAGACCACACGGCAGTCATACAGGACCACACGGCGTTCATACAGGACCACACGACGGTCATACAGGACCACACGGCGGTCATACAGGACCACACGGCAGTCATACAGGACCACACGGCAGTCATACAACACCACACAGCAGTCATATAGGACCACACGGCAGTCATACAGGACCAAACGGCAGTCATACAGAACCACACGGCAGTCATACATGACCACACGGCAGTCATACAGGACCACACGGTGGTCATACAGGACCACAACGTGGTCATACAGGACCACACGGCAGTCATACAGAACTACAGACCAGTCATACAGGACCACACAGCAGTCATACAGCACAACATGGTAGTCATACGTATACAGGAACACAAAGCATTCATACAGGACCACACAATAGTCATACATGAACACACAGCAGTCATACAGCACAACACGGCAGTCATACAGGACCACACAGCAGTCATACAGGACCACACAGTAGTCATACAGGAACACACAGCAGTCATACCGGAACACACAGCAGTCATACAGGAACACAAAGCAGTCATACAGGAACACACAGCAGTCATACAGGAACACACCGCAGTCATACAGGACCACACGGCAGTCATACAGGACCACACGGAGGTCATACAGGAACATACAGCAGTCATACAGGACCACATGGCAGTCATACAGGACCACACGGTGGTCATACAGGACCACAAGGCGGTCATACAGGACCACACAGCAGTCATACAGGACCACACGGCGGTCATACAGGACCACACGGCGGTCATACAGGACCACACGGCAGTCATACAGGACCACACGGTGGTCATTGGGGGACAAAGCTAAATGCGTTTGGGTCAGGGGTCTCCATGTTTAATCATGTTATGATCATTTACAGTACTTAAGGACTTAAAGAGCGAATCCTTTATTATGCAATAATTATGCAAACCTGTCATAATCAAGTGTTTTTAAAAATACTAACCCCTACTTCCATATTTAACAGACGACAGACAGACAACACAAGGTGGTACCAGGTCAGCTCATCTTTATCCTTTAGACCAGGTGAGCTCAAAATTAAACCTTAAAGAAAATGTTACCGTGTGATTCTTGCTGTTGATTTCCCGTCTGCTGCGGATTATCTCCCTTTGAACAGTTCTCCTTTACACTTTTCTTTACGTCTTTTCTATTTCCATCGCACTGATCTATTACAAACGTCAGATGAATATCTGATTCTGAAGTGCTCTGTTTTTGTATTTCTTTACCCACAAACGACCTAGTTCTTTCTGGTGAACTATAACTACCATCAACCAGTGACCTCTGTCCACTCTCAACCAGTGACCTCTGTCTTCTATCAAGGTCAGCGGCTCTGAACAACCTTTCAGCACCTGGTGTGAGTGTACTGTCAAATGACCTTGCACCTGTCATTTCAGAACTAGGTAAGAAGGAAGCAGAGTCATTGTCCTGCATTCTGGTGAGGTCCGGGTCAAAGGTCACAGCTGAACTGGTATCAACTGGTACCATTTTAGGGCCAAACGGTATAGAAATATCCAGACTTGAGATCTCTTCAGGTTTACCTGACACATCTCTGTTTTTCTCTGCCTCATTATTTGGGTTAACAGAAATATCTCTAGCAGTGATCTTACTTTGCCTGCGTCTCAAGATTTCCTGTGTGGCAGAGGCTGTACTGACTTGATCAATACGACACTGTAGTATGTGGATAGGTGGCACTGTAAACTTTCCACACGCACATTTCACTGTCTTTGTGAAATCAAATGATCCCAGACGACCTTCACATTTTGGACAGAGTAATTTCCCTTTGGTCCACATGGCCTGAAAAACAAAAAGTATTAATTTTTGCATTAAATTATCCAGTTATGATTGTCTCTGTAAAAAAAAATTATATATATATTTTGTAAATTCAATTTTAAAGTGCATCCAAGTACCTCAAAAACATGCTTAGTAACTAGGGACATCAAACATGAGTACAAGTTACCTAGCTTACTCAGCACTCCTTTCTCATTTCTTTATAATATCTACTCAGCATTTAACCCTTTCACCCCTGTAGACCATAATGGACTCATTCAGATCAATGCATGGTAGAGTCTACTAAAATTACACAGGGGTGAAAGGGTTAATACTTTTTAAGTGCAAACGTGCCGTGCCGTGCACTATTTTTATTATTTTAAATAGTGTTCATGTAACTTAAGTAGATTCTACCATGCATTGATCTGGATGAGTCCATTATGGTCTACAGTGGTGAAAGGGTTAATTAATGGATTATCTCCCTTAGACATCCAATCATCTTATAATACTCCTTCCTCTGCTGTTTGTGATACATGTAGTACAAATGTTTATTGTCTACAGTGTCTAGTTATTTTGAGATATTGACTAGTAGTAGGGGCCTGGACAATACTGTACAGCAGGTTTCCACAGATGATACATATGTATATGAGGTTTCATTTCAATTTGTCCTACAAGATGATAGTTACTTAAAATATTGTGAATTCAAGCATGTCTAGCCAGGTCTGTCCTTTACTATATAAGTATATGTACACTGTACACAAATATTTTTCTCACTGTTTCAATGTTGTTCAGTATCCATTCTGGGGCAGAGTCAACCGTGACATACCACACCGTCTCCATAGAAACATCCTGACAGGAAACAGAAGGCAGTACTGCAGATCCATCTACAGAAAGATACATTACAAACAATTATATATACACAATGTATTATTAATATATAAAGTCTAAAAAAATGTTCATCTTTTTCAAATCTTACTTTTTATTAGAAGTACAAACTTTTGAATAGCATGGGCCTATTGATGATCAATGCCAAATTTACTCGAAATCCCTTCAACAGTTCTTAAAGAGTAGTTTTAAAAAATAAAACTTTTATTTGATTTTTTTGGAGCCCGTTCCTCCTTTGTCAAGTGATGCTCTGGCAAAATTAGGTCAAAACCCCTTCTCTGTAGGGAGAGAGCATCCTCGATATCCAGGGGTTATGCTCACTTACGCTCTCTGCACCCCTTGATTATGTCGTAGCAGAATTGAAGGCATAAAGACAATTGTTTGATTGGTCTCAGGTAAAAATAAACTAACCAATCGCTAGGCTGATACATGTCCTTTGAAGATTACAAAGGGGCAACGCCCAACTTCAAAGTCAGTCAATTTTTACTGTTACGCGACTACAGGATTCTTTTGATGTACATCGAACTAGTCTTCTTGTCTTATCCACAAGGTGGTGCATGCTGAACCTTCAATTTTTCTCTGACATATTCCTTGGGTGCAGAGAGCGTTAGTCAGCATAATCCCTGTATATTGAGGATGGGGAAAGAGGTGTTGTAAGTGGAGAGCACACCCTTCAGTTAAACAATACTGAATTCCATTGGCCTTGGAATGATCTTTGCATACAACTGATGGACATCTAACAATATATATGACATAAGGACATCTGGCTATTTAGTCTGGGCAAACAAAAAGAAACTCTATGCATAAATTGTCCCATGTAGTTTTATTTATAACCGATATATCTAACCAACCATACATTTACAATGCAAACTTAACCTTCAATTTCATTAATGGATCTATCAGCCAAACCTATTTATTAACCCTTACACTGAAGAATCCCTGTAAAGACAGACAGACAGACATTCTTTATTTCCTCGTAGGTCGAGATTATTACAGAACAAAATACATTCAAAATGTACACTTACACTATTGCTTGCATTTCATGAATTGTTTTGTCATTATTCATAAGGCATTTAATAAGTCATCCATTTCATTGAACATTGTTTTCAGCGTTCTTGATGTGTTTATCATCAAATATTCCCAGATATCATCATTAAGACGAATGATGCTTCGATCACCAAGAAGGAAAATACTTGGTTAATTATCATCTAAGTTTGAAAACACAATGTAATCGTTAATGTTTACTGATGTTTTTGGGGTTGAATGTTCTACTATACGTTAACATGTACAAAATGTCTTTACACTACACAAAGTTTACATTATTTATAATTTTAATAAAATACCAAAGGAAAACAAATTAATAAATTAATAAGACATTTCAAATGTATATGTTCCATAATAAGAAAAACTTGATCAGGAAAGTTATTGTCTAAAAATGAATTTTGCAGGAGGGGGTCAGTAAAATGGCTAAGAGATAAGGAGTCTGAATGCCTGCAGTTTCATCATTGTATGTGTTATATTTACATTTCTGTTGTACAGACTCTAAATACTGTCATGTAAGCATAACACCTGAAGAACTTGTATTTGTTAATATCGAAAATGGTTCTAGTAAGTCTTTCAACCAGTTAACATAAGCTCGATCAGACCAATCATTGTGTAACCTCAAATTCAATCTTTGCCAGAAGTTCCCTAATAGTTTCTAAGTGACCCTAAATATATAATTTATCTTAATTACCAGATTTTTAAACTGACTTATTTCTCTTACCAGATAAAGTATTCTGTTGTCCATGTACTGTCACTACACATTGAGAATCAAACACGCGCTCCCTGCACTTTCGGCATCGATACAAGCGGGTTGCAGCAGCCATGTATGGAACTTCAGACCTAAAAACGTTTATTTTATAATGTAAAACATGTAGATAATAAAAAAACACAGCTTAGAGATTAGGCAGAACATGAGACTAATAGAATCTCTCACCCGGGCCCTAGGGGGTGAGATTGGGGAATCTCAATCCGAGGGGGAAGATTTTTATGTTGCCAAACATGAGGCTTTGCTGAGTGTTTGGCAACATAAGAATCTTTCCCCCAGGGTTGAGATTCACCTATCTTACCAACAAGGGGGTGAATGATTCTTTTTCTCTTACCCTGTTCTCCCAATGTGTATCATATACATTTTTGTACACAATGTAATGATAACGTTACATGCTAAACTTAGGGTTGACGCTGATGGATTGTTGACGTGACGTCATTGTATTGTTGAAGTGACGTCATACCATTGTTATGAATAGGGGAATCCCCCCCTGTCTCAACCCTAGGGTAAGACAAGGAAATCTCACACCAGTAAAAGTGTGGATACACCTGTCCAGGGTAAGAGAACATGTCATTACTAACTTTAAATCCAGAGATTTATATTGATTTAGATCGTTATCAATCTCTGAATTAGATAGCTATAGAGTTCTCACAGAATTACACACCAACAGGTACTTCAGGTTAGACTTTATTATCTGGAACTCTTGACTGGTTCTGGAGGTAGACACATGGACTAAACTAGCACGCTGGCAACAGCATCTCAGCAAATCAATTGAAGTGGGCAAACCACAGCATCAACTTTAAACTGACCCAGAGTTTCTACATTCCTGACCATTAACTTGAATAATAACGACCCTGACTTCAAGGAGACAACCAGAACTCCTACATTTACTAGTGTGATGATGGGAAGGAAGAAGTGAAATGAATATTTGAGTTCGTGACCCGGGGCCCGTGACTGTCTAGCTGGAGGCTCAACAGATGAGCTGAAGGTAAATTCCCTTTAGACGATCTAATAATGTGATTTGGACTCTATTTCAATTACTCATTCTTTACAAATTAAGTATTTTAACATATAGTCTTTATTCACAGGTACTAGCCTCGTCTGTCAATACACCCATAATATAATATTACAGTTGTGTAATAGGACGGATTTAACAACGTCCAATTTACTTAATGTTCGTGGACCTGAGGTTCCGTGTTGACTGACTGTACCCTGAAAATATGACTAGAACTCCAAAATATTAACCAATATCAATTTATTAACAGACAACAAATAGAACAATTACATTACATGGCTAGAGTAGCAAATACTTACAGCTATATTTGAGAAAACGTATGCTGCTGCAGTAGTCTACATAGAATTAAAACCTCCCAACCGTCCCACTGTGCTAAATATTCCCAAATTACAGATTCATAAATAGGAGTGTTATAGGGCTACGGGGCCATATGTCTAAATACCTACACATGCTGAACAGCAGAGGCGACCCGGCAGACAACTTGTTGTCTCTGTGCCAGAGTCAGTTGAACTGGGAAATGCACGTGCTTTTATAGGCAAAATACATAACCCGAGCGATTACCGGCTCCACTAAGGTTAGAGCCACACGTTATCACCTAAAACGAAAGTGGTCCAAGACCTGTACTCGTATGTAAACAGAAGGGGTACAGTCTCCAAAACCAGACATAATAAATAATAAGTAGTAATGACGATAAAATCCCTTAATCCCGATGGTCAAAGAAGGATTTTAAAGGTTTTACCTCTATTTCTCCTATTGGGCCCAACCCTTCTGCTCCCTGGAAGACCACACCCACTGCTTATACAAAATTGAGTCCCCTTGGCCCAAGGATGCTTCATACCAAATTTCGACAAAACCCTGTCATTCCTAAAGAAGAAAACAGATTTTGAAGCTTTACCTCTATTACCCCTATTGGGCCCCTCCCTTCTGCCCCCAGGGAGGCCACACTCGCTGTTTAAACAAAATTGAGTCCCTTTTGCCCAAGGATGCTCCAGACTGAATAAGGATAAAATCCCTTAATCCCTATGGTAGAAGAAGGATTATAAAGGTTTTACCTCAATTTCCCTTATTGAGCCCCGCCCCTCAGATCCCAGGAAGGCCACACCCACTGTTTATACAAAATTGGTTTCCCTTTACCCAAGGATGTTCCACACGAAATATGGAACAAATTCTTTCATTCCTACAGAAGAAGGATTTTAATGAATAATTTGCTATGTTTCCCCTATTTGGCCCCGCCCCTCAAGCCCCTGGGGGGCCAGACCCACAGTTTATAAAAAATTGGATACCCTTCATCCAACGATGCTTCAGACCAAATATGGAACAAATCCTTTCATTCCTACAGAAGAAGAAGTATTTTGAAGAATAATTTGCTATGTTTCCCCTATTGGGCCCCGCCCCTCAGGCCCCTGGGGGGCCAGACCCACAGTTTATAAAAAATTGGATACCCTTCATCCAACGATGCTTCAGACCAAATATGGAACAAATCCTTTCATTCCTACAAAAGAAGAAGGATTTTAAATAATTTGCTATATTTCTCCTATTGGGCCCCGCCCCCCAGCCCCCAGGGGGGCCAGACCCATCGTTCATACACAATTGGTTTCCCTTTACCCAAGGATGTTCCACACCAAATATGGAACAAATCCTTTCATTCCTACAGAAGGAGAAGGATTTTAAAGAAGAAATTGCTATATTTCCCCTATTGGACCCCGCCCCTCAGGCCCCTGGTGGGCCAGACCCACCATTTATACAAAATTGAGTCTTCTCCCCCTCAAGGATGCTCCACACCAAATTTTGTTAAAATCCGCTCAGTGATTCATGACTAGTAGCGTAAAGTTGACGGACGACGCAAGATGACGGACGACGCGGTATGGCATAATAAGCTCACCATGGTCCTTCGGACCAGGTGAGCTAAAAACCACTCCTGCCACAGGTGACAGACGAGGCTAGTACCTGTGCTTTATTCAATGCCTTTACTCAATGTCCCTAACTATATACATCAGATGTTAAGTTTCTTTCTTACCTAACGTAACATCTGATCATCCAGTGTAATCTTGTGTCTCGAAATATGGTCAAATCGGCCCAGCGTACCAACGGACGACTCAAGCAAAGTATTACACAGCACGTGACTTCAGATCATTGGTGCGGCCACCATCATTCAGTGTCTTTACCAACAGACTGCAACATGAAAAAGAGATTGTTTTTTGACATGACAACAGTGTCATTTTAGTTTATTTCTATTTCTCAACACGACTCTATATTGTTGTGGGGCAGTGAGCAACAAGAAAGCTAAATATGACGCAATTATCACGAAAGTTGAAAAACGTGTAACGAGCTTTGCGTTCAAATTATTTCCTTTATGATTCTTTCTTGTAAACGTTGTCATATGACGAAGAGAGGAATATGTCTTGAAACATTACTCACGTTTGTTCCGTTTACAACTTGTTTACGAAACGTTGACAGAAACGAAAGTAACCTTGATTTTCAAGCACCTCCGCGAATCCGAGTGGCGAGACTAAATGTCCAAATAATGGAGTCAACATCAACTATCCGGAAAAATCACGGTATACCTTAGCTCAAGTTTAATTTACAAGATTCCATGTGTAGGTTCCAATTTTGTGATGTGAAATGGAATTTCCTTGGTCCAGAAAAAAAACCCACCATGAACGGCACTATATCAGTAGGCTCTCTTATTTAATGAGCTTTTTATCAGAATTTATATCCAAAAGGATTTATTAATAAACGGACACACACAAAAAAAACAATAACATTGGCGTAGCATACATGAATGCTTGTATGTTCAAGCATACACTTAACTTTTCAAGATTTTTTTTTTTTAATTAGATTTTTTTTTTGATGATTATTATGGACCCGACCGTATCAATCATAAACAAGAGGCCCAGGGGCCTTAATAGCTCACCTGGTATTTTATTTTCAATTTAAAACCTGCTGAGTACCATACAGGTTTATCAAAGGAGACAAGAAACAAAGTTGCAAGAAGAACTACACATAAATCTGTTTTGGTGGGAAAGACACCAAGAACATGAGTTTCCATGTTATGTCCCAATTTCCATTTATAAATATTAAATTCCTTTTGCCCAAAGATTCTCTATAACAAATTTGGTCAAAATCCCTTCATCGGATAAAAGGAGAAGGATCTTTAATGTTTTCCTCTATTTCCCCTAATGGGCCCCACCCATCTGCCCCAAAGAAGGGGGCCCACACACCTCAGTTTATACAAAATTGATTCTTTTGTCTTTTGACCCTTTGGGCAAGGTGAGCTAAAATTGAAAGAATTAAAAAAAAATCTTGAAAATTTTAGTAGCGCGCATTATGTTGTTTGCTTGCAAAGCTGTGTCATTCAAATAGATCATAAATACCATACAAAAGCAGTTCAATGCTTAAGTACTAACATTCTAGCATAAACAGTGACAAAAATACCGATAAATAAATATATAAAAAACGATAAGCTAAACAGACTTTTAACGTGCCATAAGTAAAACAATATTTCATAAATTGCTCAGCATAAATTTATTTCCAGATTGTTGATTTTGTCAAACCTTACTTGTAAAGGAAATACTAAAAAGTGAGTGTCAACTCGGAGATGAAGCTCTCATTTGTTGTCTGCATGCCGATAACGTAACACTATCAATATTTTTTATGCTTGTAAATCGCAAAGAAGCTCCGAATTTTTTTTACAGGTAGTGCGTGGGTTCAAAGTTTATAAAACCTTTTTAATAAAGGTCGTTTCAGTCGTTTTAATTAATTTTCAAAATTCAAAACTAAGTGAGTTATATAGAGCACTATAACTGAATATACATATTAACTCCTACCTGTCACATAGGTATGGTGCTGCAGCAGCATTTTTCCAAGATGCATCGAAGTGAAGAAACTGTCAGCAAACACGTGGTAACCACGGTCAAGCAGGGACGCCTCGCTCAGTAGGTTGTATACAACGTTACTGTCCTGTAGCTCGCCCCGTGGAGTTGGGTCGAATTCTCGGCCTCTGTATATGGACATTTGCAGAACGTACCCTGACGCTGACTCACAGAATATCCAAAACTTAATTCCGTACTTCGCGGCCTTGGAGGGAATGTACTGGCGCATCACACTATGGCCTTTTGTTCTCACCAAGGATTCATCAACACACAATTCCCTCCTCGGTATGATGACGCGCAGGAACTGTCTGTTGACGAAGTTAAGTAGAGGACGAAATCTGGCGGCAGGATGCTTAATTAAAAAATAAAATAAAAACCAGTAAATCTTTCTGAATATCTTTTACTCGAGAGACGTTGTTTTCGTTAATATTCACAACAGCAGGATGTATTTCTACAGCGACGTGACGTTACGTCATTTTATCTAGCACTTCTATCGGTAATATTTGTATATTTATCTGTTTCTTATAATTTTTACCGCGATGAGTGGCCAAATACATTTTTTTCGTCAAAATTGAAAATTGTGTCTATGTGAATGACGTCAAAGTATAACATGTATGCTAACTTGTTAGATGAAAAGTGATATCTCAATGACAGTGACACGGATAATAATATAATCAATTTAATTATCATAAACTTGTCCGTGATATGGGATGTTTTGCATGTGCGATACTGCTTATTGACAGTGCATAGTCGATATCGCGGACTGACCATATCCGCCCGGCATGCGCCATATTTATCCGTTACGCGCCTTATCGACCCGACATGCGCTATATATTTACCCGGCACGCGTCTTATCAACCCGACATGCGCCATATCCGTTAAACTTCCATCCCAATACTTTTCAGGAATATCATTAGACAGTGGGTGAAACAAACTAGTAGTGTACACACTGCGCATCCATCTGTTTTTGTTACGCCTTTCATTGCATTTTATTTTATTTTATAGAATGTGATGATATAAAAAATTGAATATAAATCTGCTGTGCGTTCTAGAAATAAATCAATTGTAGTAGTGTCATTATTTGTCATTATTACTTTCAAAATATTAACTTTACTTTTAACAAAAATATTACGTTAATTAAATATATTATTGAATAGATACTATAATGAATTAAACTTATATTTATACGCGAGTACTTACATTATTTGCTTTTGGCTCTAGTGCCCGCTACCTCTTTTAATTCCTATGCTGGCTAGGTAAAGATATAGGTGTACAAATGTTCGCTGTGCTCGCTCTGGCAGCTCTGTTCAAAGTGACCAGTGCACCAGGCCCCAACAGCAACTATAACTTCAAGGTACCAGTGTTGTTTGGAACCAACGTTCTGTCGGTATTGTTGGAAGGTTGTCGAAGCAGGAATGGACCGAAGTTCTTGCAGAAGGGATTAGATACTCCATGGTTTTTAGCATTTCGCTGTATGACATTGAGGGATCGGGATTTGGTGAGAAATCGCAACAGCATTGGCCTCGTCAAGAATGCAGGAAACATGGATTGCGTCCTTAGACCGAACTCTACTATCACCCTGAAGGGATATGTAGACCAGCGGAGCGCCTATCCAACTACCTGTGCTATCATGCAGCCCACGGAACGATCCAAGCTGTCCAAAGATATTGATGTTACACCTACAGTGTTTTCATATGACTGCGACAGTACACATCCATTGGACGTTCAACTATCCAATCTGACAACACATACGTTTATCATTCCTCCCAAGGCAATTTTATGTGAGATACAGCCAGTGATTGTCCAGGAACTTCCTACTGTTGATGGAGAGGTGGGAATACCGAAGTCATTTATGGATAAGATAGACTTTACCAATTCAGCTGTTACGGAGGAGGAACTACAGCTAGGAACGAAACTCATAAAGGGATACGAGGATATATTTTCACACGGAGATACTGACCTCGGGTGTACTAATCTCGTGAAACATCGAATCGATTTGACGGATCCAGTTGCTTTTAAACAACGCCATAGGAGGATACCACCTTCTATGTATGACGAAGTGAAGACTCATCTTCAGCAACTTTTGTCTGCGGGAGTCATCAAACCATCATACAGTCCCTGGTCATCGAACATTGTTCTGGTGAGGAAGAAAGATGGATCATTGAGGATGTGTGTGGATTTCCGACAGCTAAATCAACGCACCATTCGGGATGCATACGCGTTACCACGAGTAGAGGACATCCTGGATTGTTTAGCTGGATCACACTACTTTACTGTGCTGGATTTAAAGTCGGGTTATCATCAGGTTGAGCTAGAGGAAGAACATAAGGAGCGAACTGCATTTACCGTCGGCCCACTGGGGTTTTATGAGTTCACGAGGATGCCTTTTGGACTTACGAACGCTCCTGCGACATTTCAGCGCCTGATGGAGAGATGCATGGGAGACCTACACTTAGCTATCTGCCTGATATATCTTGATGATTTAATCATCTTTTCGCGAACGTATGAGGAGCATCTGGAACGACTAGGAAAGGTTTTTCAGAGACTCAGAGACAACGGTTTGAAGCTTGCGCCTAAGAAATGCCAGTTCTTTATGAACAGAGTTGCCTATGTTGGACACATCGTCACACCGGAAGGCATTGAGGCAGATCCCAAGAAGATTGAGAAGGTACGAGACTGGCCGACACCGTCTAATCCTGAAGAACTACGTCAATTCCTAGGTTTTGCTGGTTACTACAGGAAGTTTGTAAAGGATTTTTCAAAGATTGCGAGACCTTTAACTGACCTGTTACCACCGACCAGAGTAAAGAAGAACAAAGGAAGGGCAAAGACTAAGATAAATGGCGTTAAGTGGACATGGGCATCGGAGCATGATACAGCGTTCAACGGCCTGAAGGAAGCGTTATGCAATCCTCCTGTGCTTGGATATGCTAACTACAGTCAGCCGTTTGAGCTTCACACCGATGCAAGTACCTTAGGACTAGGAGCCGTTCTATATCAAGAGCAAGATGGACAGTTACGACCTATTTGCTACGCCAGTCGAGGATTGAGCAAGTCGGAGAGGAATTACCCGGCTCATAAACTGGAATTCCTGGCGTTAAAATGGGCAGTTACCGAAAAGTTCCATGACCATCTATATGGACAGACGTTCACCGTTTTAACGGACAACAACCCGCTGACCTACGTTTTGTCGAAAGCAAAGCTTGACGCGACGGGGCATAGGTGGTTGTCCGCTCTAGCGGCATACAACTTCGATATTAAGTATCGACCAGGACGGAACAACGCGGACGCAGACGCTTTGTCACGGCTTCCGGGATGTAACATATCATCAGAATCTGTCCAAGCCGTCTGTAAAGGAGCAACGTTTTGTAAAGGTTCATTGGTGGAAAGCTTGAGCCTATCAACAGAGGTATTGGATATGCTTGACGTTGATGACGAACATGGTTTCCAAACCATGACACCCCACCAGTGGCGAACTCTTCAGACGGAGGACGATGTTATAGGGGAATGGCTACCCATCATTAGGAGGAATCTGAAGCCAACACGGAAGAGGTTTTCAGCTATACCAGAAAACGCAACCCTTAACAGATGCTGGGATAGCTGGAAACTGAAACGTGGTGTGCTATATAGACGGGTATCTGATGGTGAGACCGATGTGGACCAACTTGTACTTCCGGTTGCCATGCGAGAGAAGGTCCTGACGTCATTACACAATGACATTGGCCATCCTGGAAGGGATAGGACGTTATCTCTGCTGAGAGATAGATTCTTTTGGCCTGGTATGACCAAAGATGTGGAAACGTGGTTGAAGGAATGCCAGAGATGTCTACTCAGGAAATCGTCGACTAGCATTAGGGCTCCGTTAGTCAACATTGTTACCACCCAACCTATGGAGTTGGTATGCATGGACTTCTTGAAACTAGAGGCGTCTAAAGGGGGGTTTCAAGATGTTTTAGTAATCACCGACCATTTTACGAGGTATGCCAAAGCCATTCCAACTCGGAGTCAGTCGGCTAAAGCAACAGCGGAGGCTTTGCAGGGATTTATTGAACATTACGGAATTCCGCGGAGATTACATTCCGACCAAGGAGCTAACTTCGAGGGGAAAGTAATAGAAAGTTTGTGCGAAACATTTCATATTACTAAATCGAGAACGACACCATACCATCCTAGCGGAAATGGAATGTGCGAACGTTTCAACAGAACCCTGATCGACATGTTAGGCACATTGGAACCGCATCAAAAGAAAGACTGGAAGAGCTTTGTGGGTTCGCTCACATATGCGTACAACTGTACACGGCATAAGACAACGGGTTATTCGCCATTTCAGCTGATGTTTGGACGACAGCCACGATTGCCCGTTGATCTATTGTGTGGAGTAAACGAGGAAATTACCCCAACTAGCATGCCGGATTATGTCAAAAACATGAGGAACCGGATGTCACATTCGTTCAGCTTAGCGAGTAAGAAGGCTCGGGAATCGCAGAGTCGTCAGAAGGCAGGCTACGATCTACGTAGTAGAGAAGCCGTTTTGGAACCGGGTGACCGCGTTCTTGTTAAGGTACTTGCCTTTGAGGGACGTCACAAGCTAGCGGATCGCTGGGAGCCTGACGTATACATCGTACAGAGTCAACCCAACATTGACATTCCGGTATACACCATACTTCGAGAGAGTGGTGAAGGAAAGAGTAGAACTCTTCACAGAAACCATCTACTTCCAATTGGAACTATACCGGTGGAAGTGGATACGGTACCCATTGCACATCCACCTCGGCCGGTACCTCGTGTTAGGAGGTCGAGGATGGATAGTGGTCCGCATCATCGGAAGTCTGTGGCTGAGCCTGTTGTATCACCGCCTGTAAGTGACAGCAACGAGAGCTCGGATGAGGAATTTGTGGGTATGAACGTTCCTACTAACGTTCAACGGCCTCCCACACAGGACAAGGTGCAGCCGAGCAAGGACATGACACCCGTACCTGGACCTCAGATCGACTTCAGTGATGAGGAGACATCGGAATCGGAACCGGAGGATGAACCTGCAGCTGCAGTACAGGGGAATACTACTTCGCCTGATCCGGAGATTCCAATACCCCGACGATCGACAAGGAACAAACGACCGCCTAATTGGATGACATCAGGCGAGTTTGTTTGTTCACAACAACCTGCTGGAGCGGAATGGAAGATGAAAGCCATGTTTCTGATGGACATAACATCTACAGCATCCTTCGGAGATATGCCAGCATCAGCCCAACAGGCATTGTTAAATATTTTAACTGGTTGAGTATGTGTGCCATTTTACGTAACGTTATTTGAACGTTAATATGCATTTGTATATGTAGTATGTATGTGTAAATGGAAACCCCATGGAAGATGAGGACATCTTTCATTTAAGCGGGGGAATACCTGATGAATTGGGGAGTTAATATATATTTTTTTGTTTTTTCCTCAGTTGCAGATTTTATATTTGAATTGTGTGTAAATATTTTGCATGGACTTTTGTTATATTGTTTTATGTTTTATTTACATTATTTCCTGATCATGTAGATGAGGACATCTTCCATCTAAGGAGGGGATAATGTAGTAGTGTCATTATTTGTCATTATTACTTTTAATATATTTGTGGTATTTAGCTATACGCGTTCGTATGTAACGGAAATCAGCCTTCCGTGTAATTTTGTACGTCACGCATTGCGGCAAAACTTTTAGCGCGCGCGCGGAAATAGCACGCGTAAATGCGAGTAAGGTACTGAGCGGATGTGATGTAATGTGTTGTAAACCTGTTTGTCCAGTACGTATTGTCTATGTATAGAATACCTAGTATTGAATGTAGGGTAATTTACCTGGTGCACTGGTCACTTTGAACAGAGCGGCCAGAGCGAGCACAGCGAACATTTGTACACCTATATCTTTACCTAGCCAGCATAGGAATTAAAAGAGGTAGCGGGCACTAGAGCCAAAAGCAAATAATGTAAGTACTCGCGTATAAATATAAGTTTAATTCATTATAGTATCTATTCAATAATATATTTAATTAACGTAATATTTTTGTTAAAAGTAAAGTTAATATTTTGAAAGTCTTTGTAAATTTAGAAATCGGGCGTGGTCAATTTAGTAGACAAGTGATTTCGAAGAAGCAAGTTTTTAATATATATTGTTTCCTTTTATAGCTTACATTGAACGAGTAAGACTGAGGACTCGGCGGACTTTGTCCGAGAAAACCCTCTTCACATTGAAGAGGTGGGTATTTTAATATATTTGTAATTATGCTGTATTTCTATATAATATATAGATTGAATGTAACAGTTGTAATACGTATTCCATTATTGTAACTTATGTAACTGGCTACGGCCAGGTAGTTGTTTGACATGTCTTAGCTTATGTGATTGTATAAATGTTATATGTGTAGTAATATGATGTATTTCATGTTACAGGGTTTTTACTTACGTAATAAATGAACTGAGAAAAGAACCCAGGAGTTGTCGTATATCCACGATAAAAGACGACTATTACACAATTAATTTTGTATGCCGAGATGGAATGATAGTGTGACTATTTTGTTCAAAGAGGAGCGCATGGAGGGCATTTTATTCGAGTCATACTTTACATGTACAGTAAGCGCATGACTTCTTCAATTAAGAGAGTAGGGTATGCATGTGTTATAAGTACTGTGCTGCACTGAAAGGGCACACATACGCACGCGGACCTACTCACATTGAGTAAACATTCTTTGTATAAAACAGATCACAATGTGTACCAATGCATAGTCTATAATTTACCTAGACGACACTGTACTAACCTCTCTTCCAACCATGCGTCGGAAATCTGCGATATGTAGAAATTTCAAAATATTTTGAAAAACCAAGATGAACGTTGACTTGGTAGTCTTGAATTCCAGTATTCGGGAATCAAATGGAATTGAAGGCTTTCTTACAATGGACATGTTGTAAAATATTGAAAGAAATGCTTTCAATTCCGACAAGATAATTTTTTTCCAGGAACGCGCCCTTGCATTATGTCCCAAATTATTCTGGTTTGTCTGCAGATGGTGGTGTGCATACCTAAAATGTCAAAGATACTTCAGTAACTTGTCTAACACCTAACATCCAGGGAAGACAACATCATGCAATACTTATCAATAAAACAGATATACCGATAGTTTTTTCAGGGGTCATACACATTTATCAGGTAATAACGAAACTGTTGATAAAATGATAAAATGTAAAATATAAAAATAAAAGAATATTTTAAACAAGAAATGCTTTCAGTCATTTTCAAAGGCTTTTTCAAGTCATATATATAATTCAAGGGTTTTTCAAGACCTGTGCGACCACTGTGTTTAAAACAGAATTGGGTTCCTGAACTCAAACTATTTCATGATTTATGAAGATTGAAAAGTTTATGTAAACTATTACCTGTTGGTGTGCCGAATTATTTCCTTCATCAGTGTCTCTGGAAAAAGAATCATGAAATATGAAAATGGCCGAGAATCCCCGGGAGGCATATGAAGAGGCCTAGGAGCTTCGTAAAAGCCAGGACCCCTGTCGGGTTCAGGTGGAAACATCCGCATCCATGGAACGGCCATTACTACAGGTGCTTTGCAAAACAATAATGACGTCACTTTGACTAAAGATGACGTCAAAATTACGTACCTTTTACATCATCATTTTTCGCGTTGAAAGACGTCATGAAACCCAACGTCATAATTTTGTATGGCAATCAAGATGAGGTGGCATATGATATAGAAACATTCAACAAAATAAACAACAAACTCTATTTATATAGAATCGGCCCCATCGGCCCCCTGGCACTCTGAAACCTTTGTAATCGGCCCCATCGGCCCCCTGGCTCTCTGAGACCTATGTAATCGGCCCCCTGGCTCTCTGAGACCTATGTAATCGGCCCCATCGGCCCCCTGGCACTCTGAGATACATGTTATTGGCCCCCTGGCACTGAAAAGTATAAATTAATATAATTGATTGACATGTACTGGTATATAACTTATACTAATAAAAATCTGACACAACATAAATAATGGAATGTAAATAGGATTTAAGTCAAATGTATAATGATTTTGAATAATTCAATTGACAAATTTAACAAGTTTTATTTAAATTAATTGCTACTTGCAGAAGAGGGCTGGTGGTTGGGCCAATCCCTAGCGACCAAACCCTCAGACTGCATATAAAGTAACAATATAGTTAATAACAGTGTTTATGATGATATTTGAATTAAGAAGTAATAGAGTATATCGCTGATGTCTCCCTATTACCCTTTCACAAAATCACATTTTTGTTCCGATCTAAAATTTGATGTCAAATGTTGTTTGACCAGAAATTTGAATCTGTGTAAGTTCTTGGTTGCCTTAATATTATCTGGTAATGCATTCCAGTCCTTTATTGCATTGTAAGAGAAAGATGTGGACTCTACCCCACTTATATTATGTATATTAAAGTTGTATTGACTTGATCTTGTACACCTCTTGTTGTTCCTTTCAAAACTTTCTTTCATATAAGCTGGACATTTTTCATGAAAAAAAATAAAACCGTGGTTTAATCTCAGTTGAGACACTCTATTACTTACATTCAACATATATAATTTTTCCAGTTCTGTAAAAGTTATTCTTTTCCTGCAATCTAAATCCAAAATAAAACGATCAACCTTGTTTTGTGTAACTTGAAGTTTGTGTTAAAGATTTTTGGAGATACCCTCGTACCAAGATGAGCAAGCATAGTCAAACTGACATTGGATAAGTGCCGAGCAGAGTGTTTTTCTTGATGACAGAGATAGACTTTTTCTGGTTATTACACTGAAAGAGTGTTATAATCTTGTCACCAAATACACAGGTGTATCGAACCACAATTATAGTTATATCTTATAACCCAAAACACAGATATATCTACCTTAGGAACAGGTATCACATTACTGAACAAGCATACATTTTAGACAATACACGCCAGGTATGTAAATGCTACGATTTATAAACACAACCTCCACTGACCTACTTTACTATCGATTTCTTTATTATCACTGTATGTCTGTCGGTAACCTCGCTCAACACGGAAGTTATTTAGTCTGTACAACAGCAGGTCTAAACAGGTAGATCTACGCATTGCTGCAGTGATGGGCGTATCCAGAGCAGAAATTTGTTTATGTTACTAACTAGTCAGCAGCATTGTCAAATTCAGCCGAACTTTTGACTTGAAGTTTTGATCAAACTTTTACAATGTCAGCAGGAAAGTGACAGATTTATCAGCAAAGCTAGAGGGAAGTTAATCATGTGATTGTGAATCCCAGGGCTGGAAAACCATAGACAATGTAAGTGAACCTTCTGAAGTGTGGAACGGTAAACCTGGATTCATCATCACAGTAACCCTGTGACATCAGTGATCGTGAGGTAGTTATTCTACAGTGTTTTTACATTGCTATAAGTTTAACAAACATATACTACTGGATGTGACAGTTATAAGTCAAGTTTTCATTTCTTTACATAACAAACTCTTATTTGTGAGTGTTTACTGATAACAATATATTTATACAAGAACAACAAACATCTTCAAGGCTTCAACAAATATTTCAGATTTTCATCATAATGGCAACCCCTAAAAGCCAATTTCCACTCCGTATTAAAGGTCAAACGACCTGTATTCACCACAAGGGGAGACAATTGGATTTTTACTGTGAAAAGTGTCAGGAACCGGTTTGTCCAAAATGCCTTTCTTCTATTCACAAAACTCATACAGTGTGTGAGCTAAGTGAAATCATTCCCCAGAAAGAACCAGACATCAAAAACTTTATAGACAGAACAGAAAAAAATGACCTTGTACGAATTGGAAAATACATCACCACAACTGATACGCTCCTTAAAGACAACGCCAGTACTTTTGAGAAGCTGTCACAAAAGTTAAAAATGCAAACAGATAAATTAAAACAAGAGCTGGACATGCTTACAGCACAGACACTCTCTCTTTACCACAAAATGGAAGAGGATAATACCACGCTGATAAATAAATACAAACAGGACCTGGAGATGTACGAGAAACAACTCAAATCACAAATTCAAGAATGCAAAGCAGCTCTCCAGCGTGGTTCACACATACAGATTTATGATACATTTTGTGAGATCCATTCTCCTACACACAGTCTCCCTGTAACACCTATCCTGGGTACTGCCAACTTCACTTCAAATGAAAAACCTCAAGATCACTTAAAAAAAGCCTTGGGAAAAGTTATCACCTCAGGTCAAGGTCAAACTTTAACTGACCAGGATCGGTCAGTCTGCGGACAACCCTCTACACAACAACAACAGTCAGGAACAAAAGTGAAGAAAGCAGTGACAACATACAAACTACTGCCACAGACCAAGGTAGTGGAGGAGTGGAAGTCTCCACGTTACATTTATTCTATATGTCCCACCACTGATGGTCAGGTGTGGACCACGGCCAGTGACACATTAACTCTCCTGGACAGGAAGGGTAAAGTAATACAGGAGGTCAAACACAATGTCTACATCAATGACATCAGTCTGTCACCCACCACACACACACTGTGGGTCTGTGATGATAAAAATAACATCATGGAGCTGGTATCAGGACGACTGACACACAGATTCAGTACCAAGGAGGAACCCAGGTGTATATGTGTTACAGCCAGTAACCATGTCATTGTAGGGATGTACAGACACATCTCCAAATTTACCACAGATGGTAAAATGGTGTGTACTACTATGGCTAAAGGGACTGGGAAACCATTAGTGTGTTCACCACGCAGGATCTCAGAGTGTCCTGTCACTCACAATGTGGCAGTCGTTGATTTCAGAGATGGTGGTGATGGAAACAAACATGTTGTTGTGATGGACACTGATTTCAAGGAGCTGTTTGTGTATAGAGGTGACATCCCCAGTACATATAAACCAACACCACAAACAGAAGGTAGACCATTTAACCCCAGTGGTGGTGTGGTGTATGACTGTGTGGGGAACCTGATCATAGGGGACAGTATCAACCACAGGGTCCTACTCATCAGTGGAGGTGGTGAGTTCCTCAGGGTCATACACACAGACACAGACTGTGCAGTGGCTGTAGGTATAGACAGGGAGGATGTCCTGTGGGCAGTGTTTGGGTCATGGCTTGTTAGCACAGTCAAACTACTACAGTACAGCAGTGTGTGACACCTGTAACCAAACAACTAGTATATCTAGTTATCATGACAATGACATGGGAATCAGAGACAAAGGAAACTTATCATGATTACAAATCAACTAACGATGTGTGACATTCACAGGAATATAAGTAAAATGTCTAGACTACAAGATTGTATGACACTCACAGGATTATAAGTAAAATGTCTAGACTACAGATCGTGAGACATTCACAGGATTATAAGTAAAATGTCTAGACTACAGATTAAGACATTCACAGGATTATAAGTAAAATGTCTAGACTGCAGATTGTGTTACATTCACAGGATTATAAGTAAAATGTCTAGACTACAGATTATGAGACATTTACAGGATTATAAGTAAAATTCTAGACTACAGATTGTGTTACATTCACAGGATTATAAGTAAAATGTCTAGACTACAGATTATGAGACATTCACAGGATTATAAGTAAAAGGTCTAGACTCCAGGATGCAAATAATTATCGATTAGGCTCCGTTTTCCATTGAACAGGTAACAAAACAATTGTTTCTTGCATTATCAATCAACAGTCAAAACTATAGGGTATTAGGACAAACCCAAATAAATGTTTCTCTGAGGCCAAACCAAACATTTTGAGTCGTACAATCACTCACATTTTGATTATAGGGAAGTAATATTGGAGGCACGGTAGTCCAGTGGTTGGACGCCGGGCTCATGACCGAAGGGTTGCGGGTTCGCGCCACGGCACGGCAATGTGTTGTATCTTAATAAATTGAAGGAAAATCACAGAATAATTATTAAGGAAAAAAGGAAAAGGGACCTTAAAATATTTTGGCAAGGTGGCAAATAAATGGAGTGGCATTATATCTAGGTTTTACTGTACATAACTTCTGGAGACAATACATATATACAGGGTCCTACTCATCAGTGGAGGTGGTGAGTTCCTCAGGGTCATACACACAGACACAGTATATATATATATAATTATTCAATTGTTTGGTGGGTTGTAATTAGGGTGGAATTATTTTCTCTGTGTTATACGGCGCCAAAAGGGGGCGTGATGGTCTGAGATTTACACATGCAAATCCCTATCGCGTCATTTACAATGTAAGTGACACAGTTAGCGGCAGGCAGACGTGAAATTTAATTTTTACTTAAAGAAATCGGGGCTGTTTTTTGGTTAAAGTGGAATTCAAATAATCATATTAATTTTGTATTTGATATCCTGTTATGAGAAATCAGGGATGTGGGGAGTAATCTGGATCAATTTTAAAGTAAATCTAATGATTAAATACAATCCTTTGTAGGTGCCTACATGCTTTATGTCCATAACACGTATTGTTGTGTCTGAAAATGATTAGTTTGTTTAATAAATCAGTCGCAGTGCCTCTTTGTCAGTGAAATACATTTCTGTATATTGTGTTGTTTATCCTGTTGGATAATTAAATAGAGAAGTATCGAGAGCTGAACCCTTGGATTACAAAGACACAAGGGTTTTGAAGATGGAAGTCACAACGCAGCAAAGCAGACCATCTACAGAAATCCTCTGCATTATGATCATTTATAAACTACCCTGTCATTACACTGAGAAAACAAAAATGATTTCCAGGAAGTATGTACCAGGCTCGGGAAAGATCAGAATATTTGATATGATTAATTCTTGAAATTGGACAACGGATACGAATTGTCAACAAAAGGCCCAGAGGGCCTGTATCACTCACCTGAATATAGATTTAAAGGTTATACCTCTATTTCTCCTATCGGGCCCCACCCCTCTTCATCTAGGAGGGCCACACCCACAGTTTATACAAAATTGAGTCACCTTGGCCCAAGGATGCTCGACTAAATTAGAATAAAATCCCTTAATCCCTATGGTAAAGAGATTTTAAAGGTTTTACCTTTATTTCGCCTATTGGGCCCTGCCCTTCTGCCCCCTGGGGGACCACACCCACTGCTTATACAAAATTGAGTCCCCTTGGCCTAAGGATACTTCAGACTAAATAAGGATAAAATCCTTTAATCCCTATGGTAAAGAGATTTTAAAGGTTTTACCTCTATTTCCCCTATTGGGCCCCGCCTCTCTGCCTCCAGGAGGGTCAGACACACCGTTTATAAAAAAACTGGTTCCCCTTCACCCAAGTGTGCTTCATACCAAATTTGGACAAAATCCTGTCATTCCTACAGAAGAAGAAGGATTTTGAAGAATTTGCTATGTTTCCCCTATTGGGCCCCTTCCTTCTGCCCCCAGGGGGGCCACACTCGCTGTTTAAACAAAATTTACTCCTTTTTGCCCAAGGATGCTCCAGACTAAATTAGGATAAAATCCCTTAATCCCTATGGTAGAAGAGATTATAAAGGTTTTACCTCTATTTCCCCTATTGGACCCTGCCCCTCAGGTCCCAGGGGGGCCACACCCAACGTTTAAACAAAATTGGTTCCTCTTTACCCAAGAATGCTCCACACCAAATATGGACCAAATCCTTTCATTCCTACAGATGAAGAAGGATTTTAAAGAATAATTTGCTATGTTTCCCCTATTGGGCCCCACCCCTCAGGCCCCTGGGAGGCCAGACCCACCATTTATACAAAATTGGTTCCCCTTTCTCCCAAGAATCCTTCAGACCAAATCCTTTCATTCCTACAGAAGAAGAAGGATTTTAAAGAATAATTTGCTATGTTTCCCCTATTGGGCCCCTCCACTCAGGCCCCTGGGGGGCCAGACCCTCGGTGTATACAAAATTGGTTCCCCTTTACCCAAGGATGCTTTAGACCAAATATGGAACAAATCCTTTCATTCCTACAGAAGAAGAAGGATTTTAAAGAATTTGCTATATTTCCCTTACTGGGCCCGGCCCCTCAGCCCCCAGGGGGAACAGACCCACGGTGTATACAAAGTTGGTTCCCCTTCCTCCAAGGATGCTTCTGACTAAATTTGGTCAAAATCTGCTCAGTTATTCATGATTAGTAGCGATTTTTAGGAAAAGTTGACAGACGGACGACAGACGCTGCGGTATGGCATAAGCTAAAACTGTTGATTCAACATTGTGTAAAGGTCAACTGATTGACAGAACAGTGTAGATGAGATTATGTTGAGCAACAATCGTAAAACATATCACAAGACCGACCTGGATGTACGAGTCTAGAAATAGTTCAAGGTCAGTTTGTGAATTGAACAAGAATGCCATGGAATCGAAGATGGTGTGTCACCTGCCGCCCCCCCCCACCCCCACCCCCTGCTAATTTTCAGATTTGTGTCAAAATCAAACTTGAGTGATAATTGATACAATAGACATGTGTCGGTTGTTGCATAAATATCAAAGCATTACTTCATATGTTATCGCACAAAAGCCATGTAACTTTTGAGAGAAAAAAAAAATCAAATTGGCTATTGAGGCCATGTTGATTTCATAACTGGTTCAAAATCAACTTGAGTGGATAATTGATACCATAGTTAGGTGTGGAAAATTTTATGAAAACAAAAACAATTCTGCAAAGGTTATTGCATGGAAACCACTTCAAATGGCCACTGGTGGTATTATTGAATTTCAAAATCAATCTGTTCTTTTATAGTTATCAAATAGAAACCACCTCAGGCCATACTGAACGTCAGGTCTGTGTCAAAAACAAACCTGTGCAAGCTCTTGTAGAATTTTTCATGAAAATTAAATCAATCTTTTTAGAGTTATCACACACCTCAGTTGTTGAAATCGAAATCCAAGATGGCCACCGGCAGCTATATTTAATTTCAGACCAGTCTAGAGGTCGAATTTATGCATGGATTAATGCTATAATTATTTTTTGGGAAGTTTCATGAAAATCAAAGTACTCCTTTGAGAGTTATTGCCCAGAAAACTTCATGCAGATAATCCATTGGGCGATGCCAACACTGATGGATCAATACCTATAGGTCACGTTCACAGGCGAAAAAATACAAAGAGCACAAAACAATCTTCAGTATTCTGTAAAATAGAACAAGAACACCATCGGTTTATGTTGAAATACTTCATTTCTCTTTAAAAGGTAAAATATAATTTAAAGCACAATTAATTGCATCGGAAAAACAACATACTTTTCTGTTATAACTACATATATACAAGTGACAAAGGTCACATATCAAGACATGTTTCATACTGACAAAAGTCACACACACATCTCAACCGTGTACACAGGTCTGGTCACACACACTCCTCAACCATGTACACGGGTCTGGTCACACACACTCCTCAACCGTGTACACGGGTCTGGTCACACACATTCCTCAACCGTGTACACGGGTCTGGTCACACACACTCCTCAACCGTGTACACAGGTCTGGTCACACACACTCCTCAACCGTGTACACAGGTCTGGTCACACACACTCCTCAACCGTGTACACAGGTCTGGTCACACACACTCCTCAACCGTGTACACAGGTCTGGTCACACACACTCCTCAACCGTGTACACAGGTCTGGTCACACACACTCCTCAACCGTGTACACAGGTCTGGTCACACACACTCCTCAACCGTGTACACAGGTCTGGTCACACACACTCCTCAACCGTGTACACAGGTCTGGTCACACACACTCCTCAACCGTGTACACAGGTCTGGTCACACACACTCCTCAACCGTGTACACAGGTCTGGTCACACACACTCCTCAACCGTGTACACAGGTCTGGTCACACACACTCCTCAACCGTGTACACAGGTCTGGTCACACACACTCCTCAACCGTGTACACAGGTCTGGTCACACACACTCCTCAACCGTGTACACAGGTCTGGTCACACACACTCCTCAACCGTGTACACAGGTCTGGTCACACACACTCCTCAACCGTGTACACAGGTCTGGTCACACACACTCCTCAACCGTGTACACAGGTCTGGTCACACACACTCCTCAACCGTGTACACAGGTCTGGTCACACACACTCCTCAACCGTGTACACAGGTCTGGTCACACACATTCCTCAACCGTGTACACAGGTCTGGTCACACACACTCCTCAACCGTGTACACAGGTCTGGTCACACACACTCCTCAACCGTGTACACAGGTCTGGTCACACACACTCCTCAACCGTGTACACAGGTCTGGTCACACACACTCCTCAACCGTGTACACAGGTCTGGTCACACACACTCCTCAACCGTGTACACAGGTCTGGTCACACACACTCCTCAACCGTGTACACAGGTCTGGTCACACACACTCCTCAACCGTGTACACAGGTCTGGTCACACACACTCCTCAACCGTGTACACAGGTCTGGTCACACACACTCCTCAACCGTGTACACAGGTCTGGTCACACACACTCCTCAACCGTGTACACAGGTCTGGTCACACACACTCCTCAACCGTGTACACAGGTCTGGTCACACACACTCCTCAACCGTGTACACAGGTCTGGTCACACACACTCCTCAACCGTGTACACAGGTCTGGTCACACACACTCCTCAACCGTGTACACAGGTCTGGTCACACACACTCCTCAACCGTGTACACAGGTCTGGTCACACACACTCCTCAACCGTGTACACAGGTCTGGTCACACACACTCCTCAACCGTGTACACAGGTCTGGTCACACACACTCCTCAACCGTGTACACAGGTCTGGTCACACACACTCCTCAACCGTGTACACAGGTCTGGTCACACACATTCCTCAACCGTGTACACAGGTCTGGTCACACACATTCCTCAACCATGTACACAGGTCTGGTCACACACACTCCTCAACCGTGTACACAGGTCTGGTCACACACACTCCTCAACCATGTACACAGGTCTGGTCACACACACTCCTCAACCGTGTACACAGGTCTGGTCACACACACTCCTCAACCATGTACACAGGTCTGGTCACACACACTCCTCAACCGTGTACACAGGTCTGGTCACACACACTCCTCAACCATGTACACAGGTCTGGTCACACACACTCCTCAACCGTGTACACAGGTCTGGTCACACACACTCCTCAACCATGTACACAGGTCTGGTCACACACACTCCTCAACCGTGTACACAGGTCTGGTCACACACACTCCTCAACCATGTACACAGGTCTGGTCACACACATTCCTCAACCGTGTACACAGGTCTGGTCACACACATTCCTCAACCATGTACACATGTCTGGTCACACACACTCCTCAACCGTGTACACAGGTCTAGTCACACACATTCCTCAACAGTGTACACGGGTCTGGTCACACATATTTCTTAACCGTGTACACAGGTCTGGTCACACACATTTCAAACCAAGGCAGACGCAATGTTATCAAGTTCAGCAAGTTTACATCTCATTTCATCTTAAAAGACAAATTAGCATACCATTTCTTTTAAAAATAAACAGGGGAATCTAAGGACTCCACAAGACAGATGTGTCCGGTATCTGAACCACTGTTGATCAGGAGCCGCATCTAGGAAGTGATACACTGAAACATGTTATAAAAGTTCCATATCCAGTAGTCCAGAAAAAGCACTACAACAAAGTACCTCCCTAAGCACTGCTCTGTTTTAACCTGTACAGATGTTATTACCTGTACAAACTTGTAGGGTTGAGTGTGGTAAGGGCATATCTCTATATTGATGTAAGGAGGAGAGATACAACCACACTCCACTCAACTCTCAATACATGGGTGTGTGGCATATCTTATTGCTGTGTAAAGGATCTTTTTGTCATTTAACTTCTGTCCTTCAACAAAAGTGTGAATTCAACACGAGATGAAAGTATCCTTTCTGTACCCACCACAGCGCCCAAGAGACTACCCCTGTTGAGACCTGGCCCTGGGATCAACACGAAATGAAAGTATCATTTCTGTACCCACCACAGGGCCCAAGAGACTACCCCTGTTCAGACCTAGCCCCGGGATCATGAAACAATCTAAGACCTTAGTTTTTGCTTAGTCAATCACGCGTGACGTTACTTTTATGACGTTATCTGTGATTGGTCAAGACAAAACTTAAGACAATTTGAGACAATTTGGGCCTGTAGTAAGAGGCCACTGGTAGTGAATTTCACCGTTATATGAACCTGTATTAAGGATCCCTGTTCCACTGCTGACAAAACACTAGAGAGTTCCACTGTAGTTTTTCGAGCATACCTCCTTAATTAAATTTAGGGGACACGATGAGCCAGGTTACTACCGTCGACCAGGTAGCTCTGTTGGTAGTTAGAGCTACAGTATGATAATCTGAGGTTGGAATCTCAGTCTAGCTCAGTTGCATTCTTACACTAGAAACACATTTCTTGATTTCAGTATTTCATCTTCATTTTGTTCCTTAAAAAGATCCACAAAGTATGGTTTTCTATTCAGAAATGCTGGAAAGAAAGTTCCAACTCATAGCTACAGTTTTGGGCCGTGGTATGCGGGTCCCTAAGTCACTTTATGGACCTGCTTAAGGTGGTTTCAAAATACAAGGTTTAACTGTACTGGTAAGTAAACAGGCAAAGTCAACACTTTACAAACTTGTTTTTAATATGTAAGTACTACATAACAGCTTTGAAAATTGGGTAAACACTTGGTTTTTGATTATTATCCTTTCGTCAGTCTGGGTATGTAGGAATGAAAATAACTATGTAACTGAAAAAATGTCATATTTAACTATTGACATTACTGGAGATTATTTCGGGGTTTTTTAAGATGGTCAGTCTCTTGTAACAGCACACTTGTAAAGTGTAGTGATGACTCAGTGATGATTAGTAATTCTTTTGAAATTGTTAACTTTAGTTTAAAGCTTCATAGATTAATTCTAGAGGAGTGAGTTACTTATTTATCCATGCTAATCAATGAGGTGTGACAGTCATTGATATAGATAAAAAGTAGTTTAACTGAAATACTGATTATGGAGGCAAGATACTTTATTCCGCTTGTTCCAGTCTACTCAGCTGTAAATGAGTATGTGGTTGGGTAGTGTGCTAGAATTGTGGAATGCAAGCTGTGAGCGCCGAAATGGCAGCACCGGCTGTATACTCCCCAGGGTGTTGAGAAAGATATTGGCTGGTTGCAAAGGCCCTATAACCACAGATAATAATTTGTGAACCGCTTTGAGATGACCTACGAACTGGGTTGTGATAAAGCGGTATATAAGAACCTCAAATTATTATTATTATAATCATGTTTAGAAATGTACTATCATAACTTGTAATTTTCTGCATAATTTCCTGATACATACATTTATACATTCTGTCTCTCCTTCTCACACGTCCGGACACTGGACACAACACTCCTCTCCACTTTTTCTTTCACACATTTGTTCCTCTATTCACACACAGAAACACAAACTTTTACACCAATACTACTTCACACCAAATTATCTCCGTTGATCACCATACAGGTTATATTTGCCTGCTTTCATCCAAAGATTCATTCTCCTTAATATTTCTGACAACACTTTCTATTACGCTTAAAGTTTTGATAGCTTGCCTATCAAATGTTCACATGACTCGCCCACCGTGTTACGTATAAACACATACTGTAAGATTTCCTTTGGTAACAATGATGTCGTTAACCAATATAAACATAAACTATCAGTAACCTTCTAACTCCCCCCTCCCATTACTCCTAATCATGAGCTACGTCAAGTTATCTCCCCATTGACTATCCCCTCCAATCACTCCTAATCATGAGCTACGTTAAGTTGTCTCCCCTTTGACTATCCCCTCCCATTACTCCTAACCATGAGCTACGTCAAGTTATCTCCCCTTTGAATATCCCCTCCCATTACTCCTAATCATGAGCTACGTCAAGTTATCTCCCCTTTGACTATCCCCTCCAATCACTCCTAATCATGAGCTACGTCAAGTTGTCTCCCCTTTGACTATCCCCTCCCATTACTCCTAACCATGAGCTACGTCAAGTTATCTCCCCTTTGACTATCCCCTCCCATTACTCCTAATCATGAGCTACGTCAAGTTATCTCCCCTTTGAATATCCCCTCCCATTACTCCTAATCATGAGCTACATCAAGTTATCTCCCCTTTGACTATTTCTACGTAAGTTCGCGTTTGCGTATCCCAGTTGAAACGGTTCAGGTGGCACAGAAATATTCCATGATAAACGAACAAACTTGGCCCGAACTATAGACAGAGCTAAAAATACAGTTATGGTAAATAAATAACAATATATTGAGAATATCATATTCTTCTTTAACGCGTCCACTTAATCATATAATGTATCTTAAAATCCACATGTGGATTGACCTTGTTTTAAAAAGAAATAATGCAATCTAGCAATAGTCAGCATTTTAGTTTCGGTCAGGCACATCTGTACCCCTCAGTCTACACATGCTGAATACTCCCGAGGTCAGCCTCGGTTCAGATCTGCGCCTGTTGTTTTCTTTCAGGTTCAACTGTTTCAACCGGTTGAACCGCATATGCAAAAGGGGCCTTACTCACTGGATTTTTTAATACAACAGCCCCGATCACTGATTGATGTCCAGTTATCTCCCCTTAGACTATTGGTAACACACTCATTAGTCTGGTATTAGTAGCTGGAATCTCTTTCAAGAATCACCACCTCCCTGTCAAGTTATCTAACTCATCTGTCCCTCAAGTTGTTAACCCATTTAAGTCATCTGTCGCTCAATTTAACAAAACTTATATATTCAAGTTATTAGTCGCTCATATTGTTTGAGGTAAATTTGAGTACACCTGGAAACTTGATTTTCCTCCACAGTTCTCTTGAGTGAGATTCCAAACTACAGAAATATCACAACACATGGGCAGGACTGTCCTCATCAGCACAACGACATGAGATATGGATGATGTCCCTTTACAAGTTAAGAACAACGCTCTCCTGTCAATATCCCTGCTTCAAGGTGTCTCCTTGGTGGTTCCGAATTGGTTGAGTTTTTTCTTGTATTCCTCCGCCTCTTCCTCCTTCTGTTTGAGCTGCTGTTTGTAGTTCTCCGCCTGTTTCTGGATCTCCTCCAGTTGTTTACGTAGAGCGTCCTTATCTAGGCTCTCCAGACTCTCTTTGTTCTGTAATCATCAAATAAGTAAATACTGTATAGTTGCTCATTTTTTGTGGGGGTTTTAATTTCGCTACATTCACGATCACCAAAGATAGTGCGAAATTAAACACCCAGTGAATATTAACACCATGAATAAACAGAGATAAAAGAAAAGACCTGTTTATTATATTCCTGCTGAATAACGATGACGATAAAACACCCATCAGTATCTCTCTATGTACCTCTCTAATGCTGAACATTTAAAGGTAACCAACTGGTGTCTGTGGTCATACCAATTAGGACAAGCACCAGCTTTTCTTTGTAGGCAATAGATTTACAGAATAGGGCTTAGGTATGTTTGAAAACTTATCATTATTATTATTACTACATGGTTAACAGCTCATCAACACAGGAGAAGTCACTTGGCCAACAAATGGTCGACAAAAACCTTTAATTCTTCACCAGTTGATTATCAGCAATAAAATCCAATCAGGGCAGGAACATTCTACATGTCTGGCATACATAGGTTTCAAAGCTGCTATTCTTTTAATTGAGTAAGTTATCTAGTGCTTCACCCCAGGTAGGTTTGACCTCTGACCCAACAATGATCAATGATTTTGTTGTGTATGACTTACCTCCAGGAGTTTCTGTATGTCAACCGATGCCGAGTCCCCCTCCCCCTCGTCCGTCCGCTGACGTTTAGCTGGGGGCTCCTCTGTAAACAAACAATAATGTCTTCAGTATTATCAACAAGTGGGTTGGGGGGATGGGGGGGGGAATCCTTTAAAATTAAAATGTTGTGAAAGTTTCAATGGAGGAATCACTGTTTTTTTTCACTAAATGCTTTCATATATGATATTTGGACAGAAGAAAATTTGAAATCATAGGGCTCAAAACACAAGGGAGCCAATCCTTTATATTTCAACACATTTATTTGATTTTCATTTTTATATGTATGAAGGTTGATGTTTTTTTCTTGAGAAATAATCAAAAGCGCTATCACTTATCTTATTGGTTATTTGTGTGGTCTTCCGTGACTGAACATTTCATACAGGATTACCGGTGTATACCAGGCCTCTGTACAGTGACTGAACATTTCACACAGCATTAACTGTGTATACCGGGCCTCTGTACTGTGACTGAACATTTCATACAGGATTAACTGTGTATACCAGGCCTCTGTACTGTGACTGAACATTTCATACAGGACTAACTGTGTATACCTGGCCACTGTACTGTGACTGAACATTTCATACAGGATTACCTGTGTATACCGGGCCTCTGTACTGTGACTGAACATTTCATACAGGATTAACTGTGTATACCTGGCCACTGTACTGTGACTGAACATTTCATACAGGATTAACTGTGTATACCTGGCCTCTGTACTGTGACAGAACATTTCACACAGGATTAACTGTGTATACCAGGCCTCTGTACTGTGACTAAACATTTCATACCAGATTAACTGTGTATACCGGGCCTCTGTACTGTGACTGAACATTTCATACAGGTTTAACTGTGTATACCGGGCCTCTGTACTGTGACTGAAGATTTCATACAGGATTAACTGTGTATACCTGGCCACTGTACTGTGACTGAACATTTCATACAGGATTACCTGGGTATACTGGGCCTCTGTACTGTGACTGAACATTTCATACAGGATTAACTGTGTATACCGGGCCTCTGTACTGTGACTGAACATTTCATACAGGATTACCTGTGTATACCAGGACTCTGTACAGTGACTGAACATTTCATACAGGATTAACTCTGTATACCGGGCCTCTGTACTGTGACTGAACATTTCATACAGGTTTAACTGTGTATACCGGGCCTCTGTACTGTGACTGAACATTTCATACCGGTTTAACTGTGTATACCGGGCCTCTGTACTGTGACTGAACATTTCATACAGTATTAACTGTGTATACCTGGCCACTGTACTGTGACTGAACATTTCATACAGGTTTACCTGTGTATACCGGGCCTCTGTACTGTGACAGAACATTTCATACAGGATTAACTGTGTATACCAGGCCTCTGTACTGTGACTAAACATTTCATACAGGATTAACTGTGTATACTGGGCCTCTGTAGTGTGACTGAACATTTCATACAGGATTAACTGTGTATACCTGGCCTCTGTTCTGTGACTGAACATTTCATACAGGATTAACTGTGTATCCCAGGCCTCTGTACTGTGACTGAACATTTCATACAGGATTACCTGTGTATACCGGACCTCTGTACTGTGACTGAACATTTCATACCAGATTACCTGTGTATACCGGGCCTCTGTACTGTGACTGAACATTTCATACAGGATTACCTGTGTATACCGGGCCTCTGTTTTATCTGGCTATCTACTTACCTGTGGTGTCGACAGTAAGAGTTGCGTCCCCTGCTCCTCCACCTGTAATCTCCTCTAGCACCGTCGTCTCCTCAGCAGTCAGCTCTGATTGGTCGTGACCAGCTACTATGGTTATAACTTTCTGAAAAATCCAATCAAAACACGAAAAATAAAAAGATTACTTTATCAAGTAAAAATCAGCTGCATTTAGAAATACATTATGTACCTGTAGAAAAGTATTGGGACACTCTACCATAACTACAAGGTCTGTACACAGTAGAAAAGTATTGGGACACTCTACCATAACTACCAGGTCTGTACACAGTAGAAAAGTATTGGGACACTCTACCATAACTACCAGGTCTGTACACAGTAGAAAAGTATTGGGACACTCTACCATAACTAACAGGTCTGTACACAGTAGAAAAGTATTGTGACACTCTACCATAACTACAAGGTATGTACACAGTAGAAAAGTATTGGGACACTCTACCATAACTACAAGGTCTGTACACAGTAGAAAAGTATTGGGACACTCTACCATAACTACCAGGTCTGTACACAGAAGAAAAGTATTGGGACACTCTACAATAACTACAAGGTCTGTACACAGAAAAGTATTGGGACACTCTACCATAACTACCAGGTCTGTACACAGAAGAAAAGTATTGGGGACACTCTACCATAACTAACAGGTCTGTACACAGTAGAAAAGTATTTGGGCACTCTACCATAACTACAAGGTCTGTACACAGTAGAAAAGTATTGAGACACTCTACCATAACTACAAGGTCTGTACACAGAAGAAAAGTATTGGGGACACTCTACCATAACTAACAGGTCTGTACACAGTAGAAAAGGATTTGGGCACTCTACCATAACTACAAGGTCTGTACACAGTTGAAAAGTATTGGGACACTCTACCATAACTACCGGGTCTGTACGCAGTAGAAAAGTATTGGGACACTCTACCATAACCACAAGGTCTGTACACAGTAGAAAAGTATTGGGTCACTCTACCATAACTACAAGGTCTGTACACAGGAGAAAAGTATTGGGACACTCTACCATAACTACAAGGTCTGTACACAGTAGAAAAGTATTTGGACACTCTACCATAACTTCAAGGTCTGTACACAGTAGACAAGTATTGGGACACTCTACCATAACTACAAGGTCTGTACACAGTAGAAAAGTATTGGGACACTCTACCATAACTACCGGGTCTGTACACAGTAGAAAAGTATTGGGACACTCTACCCTTACTACAAGGTCTGTACACAGTAGAAAAGTATTGGGACACTCTACCATAACTACAAGGAGACAAGCCTCACCTGTTGTTCTGTTTCCAGCCCTACAGTTTCCTCTTCTATTATTTCTGTTGATTCAGCTTCCTGGAGACCTTGTTGTTTGATTAGATTCAAAGCAATCTTCCCAGCCTCTGTATAAACAGGTTTATCACATAATGTACTGGGTTATCCAGTGAATATACCCATGTCAAAGTTGTTTGCGTATTAACCCATGTAATATATGAATTTTAAGCACTGTGATTGGATATAAATTTCAATTGTTTCAATTGTGACGTCACACCTAGGACAAATATATGACGTCATAGACTTAAACACTTGATTCAAAATGGCGGTTTGACATTTCAAGGATGCATGAAAATTGTCATTTTACACGAATGAATGCCACAAATCTTGATTGTGTGAAAAGGATCTTACACTCGTTTTCATTTCATATGAAATTTATGAAACTCGTCACAAATTTTTCATTTTAGCTTGCCAGACTTTGGCTGAATTGAAAAATTCTTCGACTCATTTTATAAATCTCACATGAAATGGAAACTCATGTAAGATCCTAAAGATATCAGGTATTTGACATGGTTACCACACTGTACAGTTGGGATGCAAGTCCTTTCTTCAGTCACATTGTACTTTCTCTTTACAACTATTTATTATTAAGTAACCAGTTTATTTTATTTTCAAAAGTATTCAAAACATGCTATCGACTAGGATGGTTATAACTGTCATTTCCTTTGTTGTGAGGTTAGACATCTATACAACAGCTACAGTGGCTATCGACTAGGATGGTTATAACTGTCATTTCCTTTGTTGTGAGGTTAGACATCTATACAACAGCTACAGTGGCCATTGACCAGGATGGTTATAACTGTCATTTCCTTTGTTGTGAGGTTAGACATCTATAACACAGCTACAGTGGCTATCGACTAGGATGGGTATAACTGTCATTTCCTTTGTTGTGAGGCTAGACATCTATACAACAGCTACAGTGGCCATCGACTAGGATGGTTATAACGTTCATTTCCTTTGTTGTGAGGCTAGACATCTATACAACAGCTACAGGGGCCATTGACTAGGATGGTTATAACTGTCATTTCCTTTGTTTTGAGGCTAGACATCTATACAACAGCTACAGTGGCTATCGACTAGGAAGGCTATAACTGTCATTTCCTTTGTTGTGAGGTTAGCCATCTATAAAACAGCTACAGTGGCTATCGACTAGGAAGGCTATAACTGTCATTTCCTTTGTTGTGAGGTTAGACATCTATAAAACAGCTACAGTGGCCATCGACTAGGATGGTTATAACTGTCATTTCCTTTGTTGTGAGGTTAGACATCTATAAAACAGCTACAGTGGCTACGGACTAGGATGGTTATAACTGTCATTTCCTTTGTTGTGAGGTTTAGACAACAACTGGTTACACTTCCATCATTTATCTATATGTATTAGCCCTAGAGAGAATATAAATAGGACCGTTTTATTTGTAAATGTTACATACACCTTTCAAACAAAGGCAAAATGACTTTCTTGCAAAACAGTGTAGTTCCCTGTTCAGGGACTGATTTGCCTGTAATTCCCTGTTCAGGGACTGATTTGCCTTATAATTACCTGTTCAGGGACTGATTTGCCTGTAATTACCTGTTCAGGGACTGATTTGCCTGTAATTACCTGTTCAGGGACTGATTTGCCTGTAATTACCTGTTCAGGGACTGATTTGCCTGTAATTACCTGTTCAGGGACTGATTTGCCTGTAATTACCTGTTCAGGGACTGATTTGCCTGTAATTACCTGTTCAGGGACTGATTTGCCTGTAATTACCTGTTCAGGGACTGATTTGCCTGTAATTACCTGTTCAGGGACTGATTTGCCTGTAATTACCTGTTCAGGGACTGATTTGCCTGTAATTACCTGTTCAGGGACTGATTTGCCTGTAATTACCTGTTCAGGGACTGATTTGCCTGTAATTACCTGTTCAGGGACAGATTTGCCTGTAATTACCTGTGAGTGTGATTGTTTGTCCGCTCTCCACAGCAGAGGTGATCATTCCTCCCTCAGATGTAGTGATCATGGTGATACCCTGACTCTCCAGCCAACTCAGGGCGTCATTACTATTCACACCTAAACAAAAACCAACAACATTACTCATAGGGTACGCCAGCCAACTCAGGGCGTCATTACTATTCACACCTAAACAAAAACCAACGACATTACTCATAGGGTACGCCAGCCAACTCAGGGCGTCATTACTATTCACACCTAAACAAAAACCAACAACATTACTCATAGGGTACGCCAGCCAACTCAGGGCGTCATTACTATTCACACCTAAACAAAAACCAACGACATTACTCATAGGGTACGCCAGCCAACTCAGGGCGTCATTACTATTCACACCTAAACAAAAACCAACGACATTACTCATAGGGTACGCCAGCCAACTCAGGGCGTCATTACTATTCACACCTAAACAAAAACCAACAACATTACTCATAGGGTACGCCAGCCAACTCAGGGCGTCATTACTATTCACACCTAAACAAAAACCAACGACATTACTCATAGGGTACGCCAGCCAACTCAGGGCGTCATTACTATTCACACCTAAACAAAAACCAACAACATTACTCATAGGGTACGCCAGCCAACTCAGGGCGTCATTACTATTCACACCTAAACAAAAACCAACAACATTACTCATAGGGTACGCCAGCCAACTCAGGGCGTCATTACTATTCACACCTAAACAAAAACCAACAACATTACTCATAGGGTACGCCAGCCAACTCAGGGCGTCATTACTATTCACACCTAAACAAAAACCAACAACATTACTCATAGGGTATGCCAGCCAACTCAGGGCGTCATTACTATTTACACCTAAACAAAAACCAACAACATTACTCATAGGGTACGCCAGCCAACTCAGGGCGTCATTACTATTCACACCTAAACAAAAACCAACAACATTACTCATAGGGTATGCCAGCCAACTCAGGGCGTCATTACTATTTACACCTAAACAAAAACCAACAACATTACTCATAGGGTACGCCAGCCAACTCAGGGCGTCATTACTATTTACACCTAAACAAAAACCAACAACATTACTCATAGGGTATGCCAGCCAACTCAGGGCGTCATTACTATTCACACCTAAACAAAAACCAACGACATTACTCATAGGGGTACAGGAGGTCTTTCTGCATGCAATCCAACCAGATATAGAATATGATAAAATCCATTAGTTCCATCCAAGTGATAATGGTTCAGTATAATATAAATAGAATGTGTAAGACGTGAATGTCCCAGGGCCAGCTACCATACAAATTATTGACATTGTTGGACAAATTTCAATAAATAGTAATTCTTGAACTCTGAATGATGAACTCTTTCAAGATTTCTCAAACAGATTTAGATTAAAAGAAAATTTGTATAAAGAATACTTGATATTTATATTAGTCTGATCAAACTACATTCAGAAATTAAGTTGCAACAAGGATGCTGAATTGGTTGACAAATTTCTACATAAAAGTGACTTAGTGAGCTTGTTGTTGACCGTAACCCTGAAGTATGACCACATTTGTGGTATTCTCATACTTGACCTTTGTATAAAGTTTGATAGAAAAGTCAGTTTAGAAATGAAGATGCTAGTGATGATGATGTCTCAGGATGGAACAGGAGGTGAGGCTACAGACATGGGTAACATTGTATATCCTCACCTCCTCAATAAATGGCGAGGCATGAAAGTATAATTTTAGTTCCTCGAGGCAATCTTTTCTCATATAATCTCATCTTCCTTAAAAACAAGTCAAATCAGCCAGAGGCTCAATCTTTACCTGTCTTGGCTAACATGTTAGATTGTGATAAAACTTGTTAACTCATAGCTAACATGTTAGATTGTGATAAAACTTGTTAACTCATAGCTAACATGATGTTGGTTTATGATACAACCCCTTTATCTACAGCTCACACTATATTGGTTTGTGATACGACCCCTTGATCTACAGCTCACACTATATTGGTTTATGATACGACCCCTTTATCTACAGCTCACACTATATTGGTTTATGATACGACCCCTTTATCTACAGCTCACACTATATTGGTTTATGATACGACCCCTTTATCTACAGCTCACACTATATTGGTTTATGATACGACCCCTTTATCTACAGCTCACACTATATTGGTTTATGATACGACCCCTTTATCTACAGCTCACACTATATTGGTTTATGATACGACCCCTTTATCTACAGCTCACACTATATTGGTTTATGATACGACCCCTTTATCTACAGCTCACACTATATTGGTTTATGATACGACCCCTTTATCTACAGCTCACACTATATTGGTTTGTGATACGACCCCTTATCTACAGGTCACACTATATTGGTTTATGATACGACCCCTTATCTACATGTGGTGTTTGGGTTCTTTTGCAATAGATGACGAATACCATATATCTTTGATTTAGTGGGTATTTATTTCCCTGTAACAATATTAAAACACACATGAGACAATATACAGAAACGAACTCGCCTAACAATACATTTACATATGGACAATTCACGTTGTAACGTACGATACTTTAAAAGACGTAAGGTTTATAAAACAATTATTTAAAGTAGCCTAGAAAACTATATATGAATATGGTTCACATAATACTTATAATACCAGTAGACTACCCCGAAGTATAAAATCAGTGTTCAATAAGGAAAGTGTTCACTTAGTCAATAACCACACCCATAATTATATATGAGCAATTTACGGCACGTTATAGCATTCCCAATAAATATAAATTATGGAGCATTAATATTTATCAGCATAAATATTAAGTTTAGCAATAGCTTATATATTGTATTTGACCAATAGCTTACCCTGTATGTGGTACCGGGGATCCACTAGTATAATCTGCCAGGTATGTATATTTCGTAAGTATGTATATATGGCGATGTTGCCTCTACCAGGAGCAGATAGGAAGTGAATGGAAAAGAAAGGACAGAGAAGCAAAGAAAACATTGAAGCGGGAAATATCACGCAATGCGACAGGTGTCAGAGGTCAGTTTGTCACTGGTCAAACAGGTATACAACATTCACAATTACGTCACACTCTCATACATCCCATTCAAAACGAAAGTAACACACGAGACTAGGCGACAGCGATTGCGGATGCGGAGCGCGGATTACGGATTAAAATCAACGACACATTGTAAGACAAAGTAATCCTAATAAGACTCAATATATTTTAGTGAATCTTTAGGAATATAAGGAATTAAAATGAATTAACAAATCTAACCGGGTGCCACATACAGGTCACACTATATTGGTTGATGATACGACCCCTTATCTACAGCTCACACTATATTGGTTTATGATACGACCCCTTATCTACAGCTCACACCATATTGGTTTATGATACGACCCCTTTATCTACAGCTCACACTATAATGGTTTGTGAGAGGACCCCCTTATCTATATCTCGCACTATAATGGTTTGTGAGAGGACCCCCTTATCTACAGCTCACACCATATTGATTTGTGAGAGGACCCCCATACTACCTTGTGAGGTTGTTCCCGGCGCTGTGGCTTCTGCCAGTGCTGCTAATGTTGCCAGGACAGAAGAGTTGTCTGAACTCTCTGAAAAAACAATTCAAATCATGCTTTTGGAGAAAGACAGAGGTGTTTATTTTAGTAGAAAAAAGTGTTGTTTCAAAACATAGTACTGTGGACAAGCCTACATTATTCTCAAGATTTAACATGATTGAACTATGGAACAGAAAAGGACTCTCTCATTTATAATATAGGTTTTGTCTCCTGTTCAGGTGGAGGGGTCTAAATTCATTTTGATATTTAGAGATTTTTAATAAATAATTATTACTCAGTAGTTCTTTTGCAGTTCACTAAAATAGACCAATCAAAAAAGGCTAATGAAACAGGTTTTTGACTTGTTATGTTAAGTATCCATTTGTAGGATATCACTGTGTAATTAAATTCAATTATCAAATGGTGTTCGTGAAAGATAAGTGGCCCAAATTTCTCAAAGATAAAACTTCGGACCTACTGGTAAGTCAATTTATCAGATATTTTGTGATATTGATCCATATCTCCCACCTATAATTTGCATCGGGCCTAACCTTGAGAAATTTGTTTACCTGGCGATCTAAGGTCTTCCCTAGTGAAAAGTCACACAAGTCATTTTCATTTTTCACACATCACATGCCAACTGAACAAGGCATCACAAACAATACAAATCCCCTCGTGTGTAGGTCGAGATTTTATAGTGCACTTGGTACGTCTCACTTTAGCAACATCACGAACATTGGTCAAGGTTTTCTCACGCTTCACCACTACATGAAGCTTTATAAAACTCCAAACAGAAATACCAACTCATTTGAGGTATTGTCATACTTCAAGATACTTGAACAACATCATATGATTTTGATAAAAATCCAAGCAGGATAAATTTGCTAGAGCAATGATAAAAAAATTCTATAAATAGTAATGGTGACATTGAACTTGACCTTTTGACCCTGAATGACCAATATATAAAGTTTCATCAAAATCTGTGCAGGAATGAAGCTGATTTAGTGATGACAGAAAGTGAACATACGTAGACACAAACGTACCTATATCCCATCCCCTCCCTGGCTTTGTCGGGAGGGGGGGGGGGGAAAGAAAATCAGAGACATCTTTACTTACTGGGTTCTTTGGTGGTTTTGGCGATATTGTGATAGAGATTCACAGGGAGGACATCTTTGTGCCCAACTTCTGTCTGCAATGAGTCAGACGTTGTCACGGTAACTGTTTCTATGGCGTCCGCCTCAACCTCTGTTGTTTCTATGGTGACCGATTCTCCTTCCTCTAGACCCTGTATTTCTGTATGCTATCAAAACAGTTCAAAGGAAATTCAGAGGAAAATATTGAAATTCAAACACTTAAGTTTCAATTTTTGTTTGTTAAATAAAAGTCAATTTTTAGCAGACTTTTAAACCCTGTAGACATCTACATATATATTAAACATCTGTATATTTTAGATTTTGAGAAAGTGTAAAACTTACTAGTATATTTTTAATTGGGTAACAAAATGGCACAGAAACAAAGTCTGACCTCAGAGTTCGTAAACACGAAGACTTGTTGTTTGTATTATGTTACATTTTGCAACAATCACATGACAATGATGACAGGCAGTAAGAAAATAATACTTATAAAAATTTCTTTAACATCTGTGCTATGTTCCCTGTGTATCACATACCTGTGCTAACCGTAACATCTGTGCTATGTTCCCTGTGTATCACATCCCTGTGCTAACTGTAACATCTGTGCTATGTTCCCTGTGTACCACATACCTGTGCTAACTGTAACATCTGTGCTATGCTCCCTGTGTATCACATACCTGTGCTAACTGTAACATCGGTGCTATGTTCCCCGTGTATCACATACCTGTGCTCACTGTAACATTTGTGCTATGTTCCCCGTGTATCACATACCTGTGCTCACTGTAACATTTGTGCTATGTTCCCCGTGTATCACATACCTGTGCTGACCGTAACATCTGTGCTATGTTCCCTGTGTATCACATGCCTGTGCTAACTGTAACATCTGTGCTATGTTCCATGTGTATCACATACCTGTGCTAACTGTAACATCGGTGCTATGTTCCCCGTGTATCACATACCTGTGCTAACCGTAACATCTGTGCTATCTTCCCTGTGTATCACATACCTGTGCTAACTGTATCATCTGTGCTATGTTCCCTGTGTATCACATACCTGTGGTAACTGTAACATCTGTGCTATGTTCCCTGTGTACCACATACCTGTGCTAACTGTAACATCTGTGCTATGCTCCCTGTGTATCACATACCTGTGCTAACTGTAACACCTGTGCTATGTTCCCTGTGTATCACATACCTGTGGTAACTGTAACATCTGTGCTATGTTCCCTGTGTATCATATACCTGTGCTAACTGTAACATCTGTGCTATGTTCTCAGTGTATCACATACCTGTGCTAACTGTAACATTTGTGCTATGTTCCCCGTGTATCACATACCTGTGCTAACCGTAACATCTGTGCTATGTTCCCTGTGTATCACATACCTGTGCCAACTGTAACATCTGTGCTATGTTCCCTGTGTATCACGTACCTGTGCTAACTGTAACATCTGTGCTATGTTCACTGTGTATCACATACCTGTGCTAACTGTAACATATGTGCTATGTTCCCTGTGTATCACATACCTGTGCTTACTGTAACATCTGTGCTATGTTCCCTGTGTATCATATACCTGTGCTAACTGTAACATCTGTGCTATGTTCCCTGTGTATCACATACCTGTGCTAACTGTAACATCTGTGCTATGTCCGATCGCCCATTGGAGACAGCAATATCAAGTGGGGTTTTGTCAAACTAAAACAGGGTTTAAAGTGACAATAAATGTACATTATTAATAAAGAGATATGCCACATCCAGAATAACATCTACACTACAGGTAAGTAGCTGATCAAAGCAGAAATCCAAGGGAATTAAAAGGACATACATTATCAATTGTAGTGCATCATTGAATATATTTTCCGGAGATTTCTGTTCAATAATCAATATGTTCTTAAAGAACTAAATTAAACTCAGCCTTTTGACACTTATAATTTTTTTGTGACAAGTGAAAATCACTAATTCATGACAAGCATCTTTGTGTTGACTTTGATGGTCACATATCTGATAAAATGACACTAAACTGACATTAAGACTTGATATATTAGAAATAGAAAATCAACCTTTTTTCATATATTTTTTGTGCATTGGTAAGTTAACTTATAGATAGTAGATATTTCTTGTAAAACAAATGTATCTCTAACCTTTACTTAAGTATGTTCTACAATGCTCTAAAGGGATTTTCCTTCCGAAGCAAAGACCTAGAGTTACCTACCTTGTTGTCACAACTCGTATCGGCCCCATGTCTGACAAGTGACTCAATCACACCAAGGTGGCCTTTCTCTGTCGCCCAGTGTAATGGTGTCATCTTTAACTACAAAACAATGAAGTAAAAGAAAGATACAGGTACAATGAGACTGGACAGATTATTAAACCATCTTTTATTTTTCTATTCAGTAATTACCCAAAACACATCAGCAAGCTATCTTTTATATACTATCTAGATATCATACAAAACAAAACATCAAACTATCTTTTATATACTATCTAGATATCATACAACACAAAACATCAAGCTATCTTTTATTAATCTACTCATTTAAAATGCAGAGAGTGAATTGCGTACACTTCTATTAAAAGACACTGGATATGTGTTTTAATACATAATTGTGAAACAATGCAATTTACATGTTATTTGGAAAAAATAAATTGTTTTTTTTAAATTTGAAAAAGTTTTGAATTTTTCAAAAAAAATGCATCAAAATTAAACATTTGGTATGCGTTTTTCTTTATCATTTTCTAATAATGTCATATAAGTGATGTGATCCTGACCATGTCTTTGGCATCGATGTCGGCAGCATGCTGGATGAGGAGCTCCACGATGTCCACATGACCTTCCTGAGCGGCCACATGCAGCGGAGTACGGTCCACCTTTGTCCGCGCGTCTCGACTGATGCCTGCCCTCAGGAGTATCTCTGCCGTCTCTATGTGGCCGAACTGTGTGGCGAAGTGGAGCGGTGACGTACCAAGCTGACAACCAGAGCAACAGGAACGTAGTCACACATTCATTAAAATAAGTTCAAACAAAAATACATGCAGTATTATTTCCCAGAAAAGTCCCCATGAAATTTCACAAAAAAGATTCACGTGAACAACACGTGCACCTTCTTATGACATACAATTCCTTAATGCAATATTTATATATACATGATCGTCCTATTCAAGGGAGAACAATGCATATATAATATCCTCCATGTTTCCAAAATGTGGAATACCAAACAAGATGCCAAATGGGCCTGTATTGCTTCCCTGGTAATAATCTCACAATAGTAACCAAGGTTTAAATAATTAAACTAGCTGAATTAAGTTACATGGTAAATACAACCAGTCTAGACCTTTTCTAAAGATTTTTTCAACTCATTCACCCCTACATTTTAAAACTTGACTTGCCCAGTCTTTGATTTGGTCAGGTTCAAATGTGACTTCAGGGAGGAATTGGTTAAACATCTGACTTCTGTGACCTTGAAAATGGGTCAAGGTCATTTATATAAACAAACTTGCAGGCCTTCATCCCTGCAGGCTACTGGCCAGATTATCTTCACTGTAGGTCCTTTTGTTAAAATTGCTTAAAGAATTTAACACATTTGACCCCCATGACCTTGAAATTAAAGTAGGTCAATGTTATTCATTTGAACAAACATTGGAGTCCTTTATCCCAGCATGCTTTGCGCAATATCACCATCCTGGGCCTTGTGAATATTTAGAAGAATTTCTTTAAAGATATCCTTAAACTTTTGACCTCTGTGACCTTGAAAGCAAGTCGGGGTCATTCATTAGAAGAAAAAAAACCTTCTAGACCTCCATCTCAGCATGCTATTAACCAAATATCATCACCTCAGGCATATTGTTTATTCAGAAGAAGTTGTTTAAACAAAAAGGTTGATGCCTGATGGGCTTGTCTATTCTTGCCAGGTGAGCTTTAAACAATAATAATGATAATTATAAAATTGAAGATGTTATAAACCGATTTATCACTTGCTAGCTCGTGGGTCATCTCAAAGCGGTTCACAAATTATTATCTGTGGTTATACAAACAGGTTGTGGCAGGCACACTATACAACATACACATATTTGCTGTTGTGACTATATACCAACCCAGTCAGTGGTGAAGGGCGCCCCATTGGACATGAGAGTGCGAACTTCCTCTGTCTCGCCACGCTTGGCTGCATCCAGCAGACGTTTGCCAAGATCGACCAATGACATTCCAGATGTGTTCTTGAAGCCTTCACGTTTGGGTAAAACGATGTTGACTTCCTGTGCCAGAACTTGCTTTATCTGCTTCACAGCCTGCATCAAGCGCTACATAGGCTTACCTGAAACACATATACCAAGATTTATATTTCGGGATTTTTTTAAATACAATATAATGAACCTGAAATAAGCAGCTACCTGTCTAATGCGGCCAGCGGTCACTAAACTCTGGCCCGAGACCTGTATTCAGCGGTCATTTTGTCCAGAAATTGACATCAAGAAGACCACAATGTATATTAACAAGAACACATCTCAATAAAGCACAGCTAATTACAATGTGTAATTAAAAACCATAAACAAGTAAGGTTTGACACGTTGAATTGACAAGTTATTTACACAGCTATTTTCAGCTTGCAAATTGGGGCAGGTCCTACCGACCCATCAACAATGTTTTACAAACAAAACAATTAATCCCACCTTGTGTACTCAATCAGCTTGTGATTTTCAAAACAAGTATGATCTTTTCTGGTATCTGTACATACTGTATCCAAAGCTACTCAGGCCTAATATGATATGTGATGAAAAAACTTGCCACTATATTGTATGTGGAAAACAGATCTGCTTCCGGTCTGCCAGTCACTATATCTATATCAACGAAGCACACATCATGTCAAAAGGATAAATTTCACAGCGCAGACACTGAATCAGATTTTTTTTCATTACTATGTCATGATTTATTTCTATATCTTTATTTGGTTTGTAGTAGCTGTGCGAGATCAGGACATTAGTGTTAACCTTTCCATACGGCACATGGGTGCTGTGAATAAACCGTTACGCTAAGTTGAAAGCTCAAAGATTCTTGCAAATTCTAGATTTATTGAGTGATTTATTTATAAGTGATGAATTAACTAAATACTGATATATCATTTCATTAGAAAATTATTTGAACCACATAGATCAGAATACATCGCAATGCAGAATTTCATTTAAAGTAGATATACATGTAGATTTCAGTACTAGTACTGGTGGTTGTCTGCTAGCGCAAATTATATGTGGAACACTGTGTAGCCAAACAAAAATTCATCATTTCAAGAAATTTATCACCAAAACGCCTTTGTATTTGATTGATTATGCATTTATATTCAAGTATGAAATCGTACCCCTGTTAATAAAGGGAGAAAAAGTCAAAATAACATAGCAGCCTATAATGCCGGGAAAATGTCATTATAACCTGTGGATAATGTATGAAAACTTGGTTGTGATTTTCGGGTGAGCCTGGTTTTAGCAGCCACTTGTCTTAAGCAGCCAATTTCTGCTGGTCCCTTGGGTGGCCTAGGCCTCTTAATACAGGTTTGACTGTATGTTTCAAATCTGCCAATATGATATATCACCCGAGACTTAAGAGGTTCTGAAAGCGGATGCTCTTTAAATCTTCTACAAAAACTGTCAAAAGCGAAGAAACAAGCTGCAAGATTACTGTTGGATGCTCCATTTGATACACCATCAGTAGAACTGTTTTCTTCATTAGGGTGGTTACCAATTGGCAAATATTTGAAATTCAAAAGAGGTGTTATGGTGTACAAATGTATAAATAATCTAGTTCCAGGATATCTTTCTAATCAATCTAATTTGTCTAACAACAGATATACTAGATCAGCATCCCAAAACTCTGTCAAGGTACTCAAACACCGTACCACATTTTATTCCAAACACTTTTTGGTACAAGGGAGCCAGATTTGGAATAATTTACCGGTTGAAGTAAGACTCTCTTCCTCCTTGACAAAACTCAAACAAAATATGATTGGGAACATTAAGAATGCGGTTTAATTGTCTTTTATTTTTACTATTATACTTTTTAGATATAGCTTTGATTTGTTTTATTTTCGCTATATTAGCGTGTATTCTGTCAATTTTTAGCTTTTGCTACATTAGCATATATGTAAATTAGACAATTTGTCTTTTAATGAAAACCATAATGGGTTAAGCACGGAATATATTTCGTGCTTCTGTGATAATTTTATTGTAATTGTATTGAACGACCAATTTTACTAACAGAGGACCCTGTGGAAGATTAGCTTTGCTAAACAGGTTTTGTATCCTCAATAAATAAAAGTTTATTATAAAGTAGATCTAAGATGGCACACAAGGTCTATACATGCAGCTTTCATGATCTCTGGACAAAAAGCAGGTTGTAATTGCTTGCATAAAATATGTGTAGTAGGACGAGGAACAGTGATAAAGATAGAACCGTCGCAAGGTCTCTAACCCGCAACCCTTGGCTCTCAATGCACATCTTTTACACTATATATAACCTCCTTTTTTCAAACACCAACCCAGGTTCTTGGACTCCCCACCAAGGGTTCTCCTACCTTGAACTGGGAGGGTCAACGGCACCAATTTGTAGTAGGACAAGGATTAGTGATAAAGATAGTGCCGCCGCTAGGGCTCAAACCCGTGACCCTTGGCTCTCCAGTCTGATGCTCTACCACCTCCATCTCAAGTTCAAAGGGTTCTGCATTCAAACCCTGGTCTGGACATACACTTTTCCATCAACTTGTACATTAATATATGTAACAGGAGAGGAAAAATGAATGGCCAGACTTGGGTTTGAAGCTGGGACCCTCCAAACTCTAGACGGATGCTCTACTAATTGAGCTATTTGGTCGCCGTGATTGACCCAGTCCAGTTCCGCAACATATATATATAACATTACTACCTTTTAAATAGATAAATTGTGATATTTTTGTGCAATATTATTGTTTCAAAATCACTCAGTAAGACGTGTACATGCGCCACAAGATTCAAGGCAGTTTTTATCAGATACATCAAAATGTTTTTACACCTAACCTGCTGTAGGCCTAAGAACGATCAAGTCAAGTCAATTTAACGTCAATATGATTACAAAGATAAACACAAGCTCGTTTAGAGAGCTTTTACAATCGACAAAACAAATAAAAAACGATGCTTTCACTTAGCTAGTCAGGTCGGGGAAAAACACTAACTTGCGTATGGATTTGTTATTTAAAATAGCCAAAATCACTTGAATCTTAACTGTTTCAAATTGTTTGTCCAAGACGCATTTATTCAGTCATGAAACATAATACAAATGCAAAAATAAAGTTAAGTTGCATGTGGGAAAGTACCAAAAATAGATGCAATACTTCTGGTAAAGTTACATCAAGTTTCTTTAGTAGCCAACGCTTTCAGTAAACATCTTTTAGCAAAATATTATTTACCTTGTCGTAAATTAATGCGATTTTTAATAATATCTTGCAAAAGTTACTGTTAAAGCGATTTGTGTTATTTTTTAATAACAAATCCATACTCCAACTTACGTAAAATAGGCGAGTTTGCGTATTATACGCAAGTTGTGGTTTTCCCCAACCTGCTAGTTGCTGGTGCCTGGTGCAGCAGTCGATTACTTATTTCAGCTTGCATAAAGCAGCTCTCAGCACTCGATCAATAGAACAAGACTGGTTTTAACAAATTTAAAAATTTCTTTATCTGCAACGTGTTCATTAAGAAGGAGGCGATGTGGTGATCCGAACAAAGTGAGCCTATAAGTTACAGTAGCCATGCGCCTGTGTCAATGAATGTCAACAACAAACCAGCGGAAGTTGCATGTGGTCGGAGCGGAAAGGACAACAAGATATCAACATCCGCTAAGTCTTCAGACAACAGATATGGCAACGTTATAATAATATTGTAGGACATCAAAATATGTGCCTAAATAAACAATTTTTACCCGTTTGAATATGATTTTAGGACGAAACTCCGTTTGAAAGCCAAGACATCCGGAAGTTGGAAATAAAACAAGTAGTCCGGAAACGCTTTAAGCCTTTTCACATAATATGATATTATTTCGCAGTGTAAAAATTCCCTTGAATTGATTATATCCGTCAACAATTACATTTGAGTCCAAATTAAATGACATATCCGGATATTATAAGCTTCAAATACTAAAGGGCATCAAAAAAATCAAACTTACACTGAGAATCAAATAGTTGAGATCTACTTACTGAGCGAGCTTAGGTTGTGATGAGGCTAACGGGAAATAGCGGGCTAAACGATATTTTGCGATATTTCACATTCAACCTACTTCCTGTTAATAATTAACCCCGCCCATTTGTACAGTTGATTGACGTTTCGACCACAAGTTCATTATTGGAAGAAAAACCCAAAAAGAGAACGTGTTATTTATCTTAACAAAAAAGTTCATAACTTTCTTTACAAACATCAACACATCTTATTGACTAACTTCTTAAGTTGTTGGTTTTTTATATTTATTTTACTCAGAGACTCTATTTTACTGCATTTAATTTTCTCGTAGGTCAGACATCTTTTTTAATTGACTTATATTTCAATAGTATTTAAACGGCTCATAAAATAAACGCTTTTGCTGTTATGCATGCGTTATATCCTAAGCTTTTCATGGCATCAAACATAAGAACAATGTCCCTTTTTTCGAGATTCTAATTTGAGCGGATTTTAGTACAACCGTAAAAAGCTGACGAGGTCGCTTATGAGACCTCATCACATCAACTTCCTGTTAAAATTAGCCACGCCTTTTAGCTTCACGTTTGAACTTTTCACAAATGAAAGATGGTATCTGGAGTTAAAGGATATCAACAATGACACCAATTAGACTACGTGTTAACAGAAAGAAGTATGCTTACTTCCTCAAGTGTTCGTAAAATTCCGAGACTGAAAACACAGCAAGTATCCATGGAAAGGCGTAGAAGATTGATGAAGTTTGTTTACGTGCCAAGGCCATTGTGTACATCACAATCACATTGTGTAGCGCACAGGACACAACATCAGCACATGGTCAACAGATAGCGACTTCAATATCTCTTGATCGTTGGTAACAAAATGCCGCCCTAATTAAGATGTGATGAATGATCTCCGAGTACAATAAGAAACGTCCGTGATACATGATGCTAGGGACTCGGGCATCTGTCTTATAATGAGATTTATTGTTTTATTAATTGAGAAACAAAAACACTTTACTTGTCTAGTCATTATTTAATCATTTTATGTTTTTCAGTTTTACAATCTACTTACACTTTTTATCGCTGGTGCTAATTTCATAATTTTAAGTAATGAAATGAATAGTGGACACTCGCGTGCAATCGCAAATACTTGCGAACGAAGTCAGAATAAACTTCAGATGATAGCAGAAATGTTGCTTCTGTCTTGTGAGGCCCGTCCGCTTCGATCATGTTTTTCTAGTCACATTGTCAGTCCGTCCTACCTCCATGAAAAAATATCGGCCACCGTTAAAACAATTATGACTTTGATGAAGGCTATTATAGCGCATGTACATATGATCTCCACAAAATGGCTTGAAATTTGTGAAGGGCTTCAAGAATTGAGTTCTACGACAATCGGTTTGATCGAACTGTGCAGTCACACAGCCTACTTGGTTGCAGTGGACTTCCCCGGCTGTGAGCTGGCAGAGGATGGACTCGTCGACAGATACAGTGTGTTGCTGTCAGGCTTGGAGATAAAGATGAGTTGTAACCGATTGAAGCGTGCACGGGTAGAAGATTTAACCCCACAACTCATAATAGATCTGTGTTCCAACATCTCACGCCATATCTCTGTGATCACAGATATATGTCGCCTGGCCGGAGAATCGGTCACGGATGAGAGCACATCTGATCAGTTCAAACTTTGTGTGAAGAGTGTGACCTGTGCTGCGGGATGCCTGATTGCCAGTATAAAATCCTACAAGTCGCATCCCAGCCATACGCATCATTCCAGAGTGATCGTTTTCTGTGAACCCGTTCTGGCAGCATCCACAGCACTAGTCGGTTTTGCCACGGAAGACGATTTTACAGGAAAGCAAGCTCTACTTACATCAAAAGCTAGAGACACACAGAAGGCAGTACTAGGTGAGAGATGAGTCAGAGATGTCAGAGGAAGTGACGTCTTTGTTTAACCATTATCTGATCAGGTTCAGATGGTATAAACTAGGGCTGCAGCGATACATTAACATGATGATACACTACGTATTACGATAATGTGGTCACGATGCGTTATCATTTTAACCCCCCTATATAGCTACACAATTTAAGTAATTGATAGTATACTTTCAAAAAAATGAGGGAGGTAATATTTCTTTGCATTTTGATGATCTGATGATGAGCCCGAAATAAGGTTTTGCTAGAATTTGTATAAGCCTGTTTATAAACTTTTGAATTCAGGATCGAACCTGCTGACAAATTCAAGCAAAAATATGTATACATATTATATAACCTATTGAAGTATAGATGTACAGTTGTAGAAGATGAGAGCTAATATCGTGTTTGTGTTGTAGGGTCCTGTATGAGTATCGTGTCGGCGGTTATACAGCTATGTAAGACCGTGCGTGACCTGGTTTACGATGTGATGAAGACACAACACCGCGAGAAACTCCACCTTTGTACGGATTCTGTTGAGCGTGCTTCGTCGAGGTTACATGACACCTTGGAGCAGCACAGTATAAGTGAAAGGGCCCTGGAGTTATGCAAAGTAAAAAACGACGAGGAAAATAGTAAGAATGAAGTGGACGAACATTGCGACAGTTACCATAGCGACAGCACTTCTACCTCCACTGTGTCTGGATCAGAAAACTCGGGAAACTCAATGGCATCAAGATGATGAAGATGTATTTAGTCCTTCGTCCTATTCCTTGCTTCCTATCCTCCCTTCTCCCTCTCTTCCTAACCCTTGCCTTCCTCCATCTCTCAAACACTCCCTCTCCCTTTGTACACATTGGTTGTTTAAATTAAGTGAGATTGTTTGATAATCAATTTATTCACAACTTTTTCATAATATTTATAATTCATTTTTTTTATCAGTTATTTCTTTAATACTTACATGCTTATTTGCTATCTAACTTTTCAGTTGTTTTGTGGTCAAATATATTGACAACTTTGAAGTATTTAAACGGCCCATTCACAGAACGATTTTTTACACAACTAAATCATTTGGAATGATTGTGGTATACTTATATGTAACATAGTTAAAAGGTTTGCACACATTCAGTTGAAATTGCCTTAGTTAAAGTTTTATTTAGGCCTGTCTGTAATGTTTATTGTGTCTATTTTGTTTCTGAGTATTTTTTATGCGTATCGTTAATACTTTACCCCACTCTCTTATGTTTTGTAGTGGAATGTTGATTTATAGGTTATGTAGGTCACCATTTGTCTGGTGAGGTGCTGTTTGTTCTAGTCAATATATAATAAAATATTTATCTAAGGAATCACTATCGTAGCAAGCAACGGTATAAAAATCTGGTGCTTGGGATGATGAGCAAAGTCAAGAATGACCACATCTCTGCCAAATATTTAATCAAAGGAAATAAAAATTGCCATTTTTAGAGAAGATGTAAGTTAGATATTTGAAAACTGGAATGTGCCATTTTTTTTTTACCAGACTATACAATCAATGGGAGTTATTTCCCTTTATATTTCATGGTGCATGGGTTTATAATTTACAGACTACGATAATATCCATAGCCAAGTCACAGCTCAATGAACTCATTGGTTTTATTTGAGAGAATGTAATTGGTAATATTACAATGAATATTATCCCAACATATATGTATCTAATGGCCCCCAATATCACAAAATGTTTGGTCTGGAATAAACTGGCTGTATCACTGTAATAAGATTCACCAGGTATGTAATAAAACCGGCTGTATCACTGTAGTAAGATTCACCAGGTATGTAATAAAACTGACTGTATCACTAGTAAGATTCACCAGGAATTTAATAAAACTGGCTGTATCACTGTAGTAATATTTACCAGGTATGTAATAAAACTGGCTGTTGCTCTAGTAAGATTCACCAGGTATGTAATAAACCTGGCTGTATCACTGTAGTAAGATTTACCATGTATGTAATAAAACTGGCTGTATCTCTGTGGTAAGATTCACCAGGTATGCAATAAAACTGGCTGTATCACAGCAGTAAGATTCACCAGGTAAGTAATAAAAATGGCTGTATCACTGTAGTAAGATTCAATGGTTATATAATAAAACTGGCTGTATCACTAGTAAGATTCACAAGGTATTTAATAAAACTGGCTGTATCTCTCTAGTAAGATTCACCAGGTATGTAACAAAACTGGCTGTATCACTGTAGTAAGATTAACAAGGTAAGTAATAAAACTGGCTGTATCACTGACTGTAGTAAGATTCACCAGGTATGAAATAAAACTAGCTGTATCACTAGTACGATTCACCAGGTATTTAATAAAACTTGCTGTATCACTCTAGTAAGATTCACCAGGTATTTAATAAAACCGGCTGTATCACTGTAGCAAGATTCACCAGGTATGTAATAAAACCGGCTGAATCACTGTAGTAAGATTCACCAGGTATGTAGTAAAACCGGCTGTATCACTGTAGTATGATTCACCAGGTATGTAATAAAACTCGCTGTATCTCTGTGGTAAGATTCACCAGGTATGTAATAACACTGGCTGTATCACTAGTAAGATTCACAAGGTATTTAATAAAACTGGCTGTATCACTGTATTAAGATTCACCAGGTATGTAATAAAACCGGCTGTATCACTGTGGTAAGATTCACCAGGTATGTAATAAACCTGGCTGTATCACTGTAGTAAGATTTACCATGTATGTAATAAAACTGGCTGTATCACTATAGTAAGATTCACCAATTTTGTAATAAAACTGGCTGTATCACTATAGTAAGATTCACCAATTTTGTAATAAAACTGGCTGTATCACTATAGTAAGATTCACCAATTTTGTAATAAAACTGGCTGTATCACTATAGTAAGATTCACCAATTTTGTAATAAAACTGGCTGTATCACTATAGTAAGATTCACCAATTTTGTAATAAAACTGGCTGTATCACTATAGTAAGATTCACCAATTTTGTAATAAAACTGGCTGTATCACTATAGTAAGATTCACCAATTTTGTAATAAAACTGGCTGTATCACTAGTAAGATTCACAAGGTATTTAATAAAACTGGCTGTATCCCTGGAGTAAGATTCACCAGGTATGCAAGACAACTGGCTGTATCACTGTAGTAAGATTTACCATGTATGTAATAAAACTGGCTGTATCCCTGTAGTAAGATTCACCAGGTATGTAATAACACTGGCTGTATCACTAGTAAGATTCACAAGGTATTTAATAAAACTGGCTGTATCTCTCTAGTAAGATTCACCAGGTATGTAACAAAACTGGCTGTATCACTGTAGTAAGATTTACCAGGTATGTAATAAAACTGGCTGTAGCACTGTAGTAAGATTCACCAGGTATGTAATAACACTGGCTGTATCACTAGTAAGATTCACAAGGTATTTAATAAAACTGGCTGTATCTCTCTAGTAAGATTCACCAGGTATGTAACAAAACTGGCTGTATCACTGTAGTAATATTTACCAGGTATGTAATAAAACTGGCTGTAGCACTGTAGTAAGATTCACCAGGTAAGTAATAAAAATGGCTGTATCACTGTAGTAAGATTCCCCAGGTATGTAATAAACCTGGCTGTATCACTGTAGTAAGATTTACCATGTATGTAATAAAACTGGCTGTATCACTCTAGTAAGTTTCACCAGGTATGTAATAAAACTGGCGGTAGCTCTGTGGTAAGATTCACCAGGTATGCAATAAAACTGGCTGTATCACAGCAGTAAGATTCACCAGGTAAGTAATAAAACTAGCTGTATCACTCTAGTAAGATTCACAAGGTATGTAAAAAACTGGCTGTATCACTGTAGTAATATTTACCAGGTATGTAATAAAACTGGCTGTTGCTCTAGTAAGATTCACCAGGTATGTAATAAAACTTGCTGTATCACTGTAGTAAGATTCACCATGTATGTAATAAAACTGGCTGTATCCCTGTAGTAAGATTCACCAGGTATGTAATAACACTGGCTGTATCACTAGTAAGATTCACCAGGAATTTAATAAAACTGGCTGTATCACTGTATTAAGATTCACCAGGTATGTAATAAAACCGGCTGAATCACTGTAGTAAGATTCACCAGGTAAGTAATAAAACTGGCTAGATCACTGTAGTAAGATTCACCAGGTAAGTAATAAAACTGGCTAGATCACTGTAGTAAGATTCACCAGGTATGAAATAAAACTAGCTGTATCACTAGTACGATTCACCAGGTATTTAATAAAACTTGCTGTATCACTCTAGTAAGATTCACCAGGTATTTAATAAAACCGGCTGTATCACTGTAGTAGGATTCACCAGGTATGTAATAAAACTAACTGTATCACTAGTAAGATTCACCAGGGATTTAATAAAACTGGCTGTATCACTGTAATAAGATTCGCCAGGTATGTAATAAAACTGGCTGTTGCTCTAGTAAGATTCACCAGGTATGTAATAACACTGGCTGTATCACTAGTAAGATTCACAAGGTATTTAATAAAACTGGCTGTATCTCTCTAGTAAGATTCACCAGGTATGTAATAACACTGGCTGTATCACTAGTAAGATTCACAAGGTATTTAATAAAACTGGCTGTATCCCTGGAGTAAGATTCACCAGGTATGCAAGACAACTGGCTGTATCACTGTAGTAAGATTAACCAGGTATGTAATAAAACTGGCTGTAGCACTGTAGTAAGATTCACCAGGTAAGTAATAAAAATGGCTGTATCACTGTAGTAAGATTCACCAGGTATGTAATAAAACTAGCTGTATCTCTGTGGTAAGATTTACCGGGTATGTAATAAAACTGGCTGTATCACTGTAGTAAGATTAACAAGGTAAGTAATAAAACTGGCTGTATCACTGACTGTAGTAAGATTCACCAGGTATGTAATAAAACTGGCTGTATCTCTGTAGTAAGATTTACCAGGTGTGTAATAAAACTGGCTGTATCACTATAGTAAGATTCACCAATTTTGTAATAAAACTGGCTGTATCACTAGTAAGATTCACCAGGTATGTAATAAAACTGGCTGTATCTCTGTAGTAAGATTTACCAGGTGTGTAATAAATCTGGCTGTATCACTATAGTAAGATTCACCAATTTTGTAATAAAACTGGCTGTATCACTAGTAAGATTCGCCAGGTATGTAATAAAACTGGCTGTATCACTGTAGTAAGATTTATAGTAAGATTCACCAATTTTGTAATAAAACTGGCTGTATCACTAGTAAGATTCACCTGGTATGTAATAAAACTGGCTGTATCACTGTAGTAAGATTTACCAGGTATGTAATAAAACTGGCTGTATCACTCTAGTAAGATTCACCAGGTATGTAATAAAACTGACTGTATCACTAGTAAGATTCACCAGGTATGTAATAAAACTGGCTGTATCTCTGTAGTAAGATTTACCAGGTATGTAATAAAACTGGCTGTATCACTGTAGTAAGATTTACCAGGTATGTAATAAAACTGGCTGTATCTCTAGTAAGATTCACCAGGGATGTAATAAAACTGGCTGTATCACTGTAGTAAGATTTACCAGGTATGTAATAAAACTGGCTGTATCACTGTAGTAAGATTCGCCAGGTATGTAATAAAACTGGCTGTATCACTGTAGTAAGATTTACCAGGTATGTAATAAAACTGGCTGTATCTCTAGTAAGATTCACCAGGGATGTAATAAAACTGGCTGTATCACTGTAGTAAGATTTATAGTAAGATTCACCAATTTTGTAATAAAACTGGCTGTATCACTAGTAAGATTCGCCAGGTATGTAATAAAACTGGCTGTATCACTGTAGTAAGATTAACCAGGTATGTAATAAAACTGGCTGTATCACTGTAGTAAGATTAACCAGGTATGTAATAAAACTGGCTGTATCACTGTAGTAAGATTAACCAGGTATGTAATAAAACTGGCTGTATCACTGTAGTAAGATTTACCAGGTATGTAATAAAACTGGCTGTATCACTTATAAAATTCACCAGGTGTATGACCTTTTCTATGCGTTTATTACAACATTTCTAGCTATGATTAAAGGTAAATTAGGCACATTAATTATGATGTATACTGTTCCATTAGTCCTTTGCAATCAGTTTGTTTTGGGAAGTGCAATTCTATGAGAATTTCTAATGCAATGAAGAGTTGAGTTATGGTAATCAACCCATATATACAATATTAATCATGTGATCTGTTAAATAAATTATAGAAAGGTTGTGTTTTTTTAATAGAAATTATTCTGTTCCGATTACTTCAATTATTTTCCCAGTGTTACAGGGTAAAAAACAGTCTTACTGATTTTCACAATTCTTAGCTCGCTATATCATGTGTGTGCACGTTTTCTAGAAAATACAAGCCAACAGAAAGGTTTTAGTTGAATATTATTTCAATTATTTTTTTTCAGTTTGTTTTCCTGGAATGATTCAGCATATAAAACCAATGTATTAGTGAGGTAGAATAGGAAAATCAGTTTCATATTATTTAGTTCATTCTTTAAAAAATTTGAGAATCCCACTGGAGAAAGAGGGTTAATTGTTTCATTGTCCTATTTTATGGTGTGTTGATTTAAGGATCCCCATACCACTGCCAAAACCTGTAGCTGTACATCAACAACCTTTCTTCCATCACAACTATAGCTTTGATAAATAATTTCTGAAAGTAAACCATACCTTAATATAAGCTTGCAGAACTTTATAAGCTCACCTGGCCCAAAGGGCCATGTGAGCTTATGCCGTACTGGGCATCCTTCGTCTGTCAACTTTTGTTTTTAAACGAC